AAGCCATTGTGAAAAACGTTTGTGCATTTGAAAGGCAACTGCGTATCATTACATTAATATTGCACCTTTGACCTGTCACGTTCCATGTCAGTGGAAGAGAAAGATATTTGTAATATGAATTATTCATACCCTTTGTAAATATTAATGTGATGTTTTTTTTTTCTTAATTAAAGAATGAAAGGTGGGTTGGTTGGGCTATGGTCTATGTTGAATACTTTTTGATATCAGCTTTTATGTGTCACATTCTCAAGAAACATAAAACTTGACAAATCAAGTTTTCACATACTCAAAAACTGACAAAACTTGGCAAGAGCATGAATATTTTGGTTGTTAACTCTTCTGATAGAGGGATAGAGATAACGATATAGAAAGGGGTGGGGTTTTACAGGAGATAAAGAGAGGTAGATAGAGAGAGAAAGAGAGAGAGGTTTTTTTAGCGGGGGCGTAAATCCATACCGAGGAGTGGGGGAATGATTGGCGATAGCCTTCACATACTAGCACGAGCACACGCCCACACTAATTTACGCAAGCGCACGCGATCGCGCACGCACAAACACACAACACACACACACACACACGCGCACACACGCACAAACGAACAAACAACAAACACACACATACCCAAACACATGCACATAGATTTATACATGCATACATACATGCACGCACATGCCAAATTTGACAACCATAGTAAAAGAATTGGACATATTTCGAAATACTGGCAGCTGCAAACTGTAGTGTTTTATTATAATGAACTCCGAAATAAGACGACACACTTTCAAGTAGTAACATAAAGATTGAGTATTTCGTCAGGAAGATGCGAACTATTTATTTTGAGTCCCATCACTAAGAAAATGATGTTAATGGTCAGGGGCGTCGCTAGACCGTTTTTTAGTGGGGGGGGGGGGTGTAGAGGCCAACGATTACCGACAAAACTAGCCCCCAATTACCGACAAAATTAAATGTCCCAATATTTACAAATTTAACCCTATATACCCGGGGCCGAAGGCTAAATTGTTTTTCCTACGGACTATCTATAGTACTTGCGTATGCGCAAATGGTCATTTTCCTCGACGACATAAATATACGAATTATTTCGTCAACTTAGTTAGCATCATAGCTATACAGTCAGACCGCAGCGCGCGCGTTAATGAGGCTGAAAGCTGATTTTTACTCAGCGATATCTGGCGATCACATAACATTTACGTCTGCTGAATTTCCATGCGATTTTCAGTGAGATTTGTAGGGTGTACATGTAGCTGCGTTTTTGGTCGTTAACTTCATTCAACATGGCAGCATGCAACGGAAAATCACTCTCGAGATTTTCAGCATCAGTTTGATATGTAATTTGCCATATTTCGCAATTTTTAAACAATAATTTTTCACAACTTTTATTGACGTTATTTTTGTTACATTTCAACTGCTGTTTTGACCCGGGAATTTCACTTTTGGTTCCTGACTTTGGGACAAAATAAATTTGTCCACTTTGAGATTCGTTCGAAAGATGAAAAGTCACTGATCAAAAATATGTCAAAACCTAATTGACGCAAAATCATGTTCTTTTTATAATCATAGTAATTAAGACCCTAAAAACCCGGAAATTACCAATTTGTTCTTTTTATGATAGCGCGAAATTCTCGCTACCCCAAATAGCGATTCTGCCGAGATCCGGGGAAAATCCTGAAAACGCGCATTGCATTATGGGATAGCTTTTCGACATTACAGCTTCCTGTGCAGGCGCGCGATAGCGCAAACGTAAAACGCCGTCGCCACACAACGTGTATGCACCGAATATGTCGTCTGCTCGGTCTTGTTTTTTTTCGCAAATATTTCAAAGTTTATTTGAACATTTCATTCGTTGTTTTTTGCGTCTTTTGACATCAGTGACGATGGTTTTCTTTTGTGAGGCTGCACAGTGCTGGGCTCATGATTCCAAGCGTAAGAACCCTGAAAAATGGGGGTGGATGAAGGCCGTGACTTGGGATGGGACTCTATACCGGAAGTTGTAGTGACGACCCGAGAGAGTGAAAATTACCTCGTCTCGCGAATTTCGAGATTTTCGTACCTATTTAGGGTAGCGAGAATTGTGTGATTTCCTACTCGTGCACGCTCGCCGTCTGAGCAATGGCAATGAATAACTGATTATTAAACTCCAGGGAGCTCCGCCGCGCCATCGACTGGCCAAAAAAAATTAGAAAAATGATTAAAAAAGAATTAAAGTAGAAAAGAATCGTCGATATTGCAGGTAAGGTATTTGATCTCGGTTCCTTAGATTGTTGTCAAGACGGCTTGCGCGAACGTGCATTGCAGGCGCACGCCACAACGCATGGTTACCAAAATGTGGTATTCAGAATGTTAATAAACCAAACTGAAACATATGTGACGTAGTTGACGTAGTTGACCAATCAGAACTCTCTATTATCACATCGGCAAAGTTGACTACTTTTTTTAATTATTCATGAACATGAGCGTGATCTTTTTTGGTTCCTGACTTTGGGACAACGTAAAATATAATAATGTTGATATCATTGTAAAGAAAAATATTTATGCTTTATGCTGATTATAACATCTTCTTGACGCAAGAATGATTTCTATGTGAAAATCAGCCCTACTCTTTAGATAGATTAATCGTCGAAAAACCCCATTTTCAAGGCGAAATATCTGTTTCCAAAATTTATCTAACATGATTGACATATAAGTATATAGAGAGTGCAACTTCTTATCTTTAAAATAAGACCCATTTCATGAGAAATGAACAATTATAAAGGCAAAAACTGCCGATCGGGAAGACCGTCTGCACTACTCATTACGTATGCAAGACACATAAATTCTTGCATACGTGCTGAGTAAAATAGAGGGTTTTCGCACCGGCTGCGGTCTGACTGTATATATTTTAATGCAGGCGCGAAGCTCATTTTAGGGAGGGGCGGTAGTGAGCAGGCGAATCACTCGAAGAGCGCGCGAAGCGCGCTCATTAGGGGGTGTGGGTGATAGGCCTACCGCGCGAAGCGCGGAAGCTTAGACGTTTCTTTAAATTATTAGGAAAAGAAGACGATTTATTGTACCGTTCTCGACTGTTAACCCTTGTCTGAATGAATCCCCCCTTCCGCGCAAAGCGCGAAATCTTTGGCGTTTCATTAAATTATTATAAAAAGAAGACGAATTGCTGTACCGTTCTTGACTGTTTATCCTTGTCTGAATTCAGTTCCCCCTCCCGCGCGGAAGTTTTGGCGTTTCACTAAATGATTAGAGAAAGTAGACAATTCGGTGAACCGTGGTCGACTCTTAATCCTTGTATGAATTCAGTTTCTCCCTCTCTCTCCCGCGCGAAGCGCGGAAGCTTTGACATTTCATTAAATTATTAGAGAAAGTAGACGATTTGTTAAACCGTGCTCGACTCTCAATCTTTGTCTGAATTCGGTTTACCCCTCCCGCGCAAAGCGCTGAAATTATTAGAGAAAGCAGGCGATTCGTTGTACCGTTTTCGACTCTTTTAATAAGCCCTATTTATCTGAATTCAGTTCCCCCCTCAATGCAACCGTATTATTTATCACTCTCAATCAGATGCGTTTACAGTTTTCACACCTCTTAAAAAATGTTTCTGGAATTCATATAATGATACATGTACTGTTTTTATTAATTAAATCTAATGAATTCTTTAATTTCCTCAGCCAAATCCTTTCTCAAATATAAAAATAATAAGAATGTGTACAGGCTTACCTTGAAATAACTAAAGAGACAAACGGCCACTGTAAGTCTTGAACACGCCAGGTCTGGAACTTCAGTCTCCATCTACCCCTCCCCCCCCCCCCCCCACACTCCGGGGTCGGAGGGACCGCATGCGCATTCCTAAAATCTCCAGGAAAGGGGTACTTTTTCGCGCGACAAAATCCGGCCCGAGAATTGTAAAAAATAGGGGGTGTATTTGACTTTTCACCCGGAGATTTCTTTCAAAAGTGGGTGTTTTTTTCTCTCTCTCTCTTTGGACTCCTGAGAAATGTAAAAAGGGGGTTATAAAATGTCTTGAATATCATAGAAAAATTGATCGAATCCCGGGATCAAATTCCTGAAATTCCTGTTAGCTTTGAAAGCTCATTCAGGATTATTTCATTTTGAAAAGTAAAAACCAGGCCCCCAGTCCCCCTCGATCGACTAGAGCTCACCTGAAATTGGGGGGGGGGGGTGGGGTACATTAAGCAGTGTTCCCTTTTTTTTTTCTTTTTTTTTTTGGGGGGGGGGGTCTCCAAGGCGGGAAAAGCCAGCGCAAAGCCGGCGAAACGGGGATTCAGAAATGTTGGCAGTCCTGAGATAGGGGGTGCTTTCAAAGTGAGGGGACGAGCATACGCGTACCCTAAATAAAACTGAGTGGGGGGGGGGGGGAGCCGGGCATCTACTGTACATGATTGCACTTTCTAAGCGCTCGCGCGCTGGCGCACTTTACGTCTGGGCTATAATAAAACCTTGCAAAATAACGAAAAATTATTCTGAAGTTTATGAAGTGCTTGTTCGCGCACGTCGCGCAACTACTTAATGATCGTGACATACTGTATACCTGTAGGCTATACAGTTATACATACATTAAAAAAAAAAAAACTCATTTCTCATGCATTATGCTGAAATTGAAACAATCATATTCTTTGTTCTTCTTCTTCTTCCTTTTTTTTCTCTTCTTTTTTGTTGTTATCTCAGGGGGGGGGTATTTGTACAGGCCATCCCCCTCCTTCAAGCGAGGGGGGATGCATCCCCCCATCCCCCCGGGATTTACGCCCCCTTTTTTTAGGGGGATCCAGGGAGGCTGGCAAGAAAGAAAAAAGAAAATAGAGAAAGAGAGAAAAAGAGATCGAGAGGGAGAAGACAAATAACAGGGGAGAAGGGGTAGGTGAATTTAAATGCAGATATAGGTACATTAGAAAAGGATTATTTACTATTAGAATGTTGTTATATTCTTCTTTTAAAACAGACAAAAATTAATCGAATCAGATCAGATCATCTGAATCAAGATGGCAACCGTGGAGGTTGGACAGCGAGTTGTCCGAAGCGCCACCTGGACATCAGGAGATGAAGATGGCGGTGAGGGTCATCTTGGGACAGTGGTCAAGCTAAAAGATCAAGACCCTCAGGATCCTATTCCTTCAGGCTGGGCCAAGATCAGATGGGATAATGGTAATGTTAACAACTATCAGGTCGGTTCCAGCGGGTCATATGATCTTGCTCTCTTCGACAGTGCCCCCGCAGGTAATTATTCCCTTACTGATTCTTGTAAAAAAAATCTTTTAGTTTATGTTAAAATCAAAAATTAAAACTATTACTTGAATCAACAAATTTCTTGAAATCGTCAATAACTAAATATTGTTTATGTATTTTAACGTGACAAAAGCTTTCTAAGTTCAAGTATCTTATAAGGGATTACTTTCCAATTCATATTGACAGCTACACCAATACTGCTAAACAATTTCTTAATTTTCCACCTTCCTCAATTCTTTTTCCAGGTGTGATTCGAGTTGATGCAGTTTGTGATAGCTGTTTGATGGATCCTATAGCTGGCATACCCTGGAAATGCAGTGATGAAAGCTGCCCTAATTATGTACTTTGTACTCCATGCTACATGAATGATAGACATGACTTGACTCATACATTCACTCGCTTCACCAGCCAGAAAGAAACAGGGTATGTAAAATAAAGTATTTTTTTTACTATGAGTTTTTGCTTTTGTGTATTTTACATTAAAATGCAATTTATTTTGTAAATATCAATATATCTTTTGTATGAAAGTGAGATAGCAAACTGGAAAACTTAACGTTATTCAGGATGTACTCAAGAAGCGGGGCAATGGGGGCGTTGCACCCTCCAAAATGAAAGATAAATAGATGAGCCCCCTCCCACCCAAGGGTGCATGAGATAATCGAGATCCAGGCTATTTGGGTCATGTGTAGATTGTGATGTCAAGGTATTCTGTGTCTTTTTCTAAGCCTTACTATAAAAGACATTTTTAGTCATAGAGAAAATCACTTAAAAGCCTTGTTTTACCCCCTGCAGGCAAACTTTTGGCTCATGAAATTTGAATTGGAACTGTCTCAAAATGTATTTACCTCTTTTGATGTATTTGATTAAGTTTACTCCACACAATCTGATGGTTCTAAAAGCTTTATATCTTTCTCTTAAAAATGTATAAAGAGAGATGTTTATGTTTCTCCAGGACACAAGTGACACCTCGATTTGGAGAAGTGAAGACAGTTTCTAGAGGGCTGTGTCCAGAGGCAGAGGTCTGTAGAGGGAAGGATTGGCAAGGAGATGATGAAGATAGTATGAAAGTCTTTTTTCTCACTTTTCCTTTTATTTTCCTTTCATTTACGAATTGCCTATTTGCCAATGTAACGCCTGTAAATTTGTGATTTTAGTAACTTGTTTAAAAAGTATAATTATAAATCATCATAAGCTTAAGCTTAGCAGTAACAGAATTTAGGGTTGAATATTTATATTTTCGTATGGGTGTCCCAACCATGGCCCTTTGGCAAGATATAAACACTTTGGTCGTTTATGTCGCCTCTCTGCATGGTTGCTTGTTTGCTACACGTGCCATTTTTCATAAAACAGTAAACACCAATTGAAGGAAGGATTGCTTTGTGTAATCTAATGGCTTTGCAAAATTAATCATTTCCAATCTTAACTAGACTTTAATTCGTCACTTAGACGAATTAGGTGATACGTATTATAATGGTCTACATACCGAATAATGCATTACACGATATCATGTTATTTTATAAAATGCTTCTCCCATTATGATCTATCCATATGTCAAGTTTAAATTGTGTCCCCTTGATCATTATGGATCTAGGGAAGATAGATTGAAACAATATATGACCATTGACCCTGTGCAGTAACCATTTACACCTTTGACTCTAATTTACATCATGAGGAACACAATTTGACGATTTTATCTTATTCAAAGAAATGATAAATGATTATCATCATTATGGAAATGATGATCATGATGATGATCATGATCATGAGCGTAATACTGACATCTTATTGAAAAAATGAGGGGAGATTTAAGTAGCATATAGTCTCAGCTACAACATCTCCCGTAGGGATTACACGCAAAAAGTAATGGATTAAGTGAAAATAGGGTAATAATAATAAAGTAAATAGGGTTGTTTTATACATTATTTGCGAATCTACGTCTTTTAATAATCAAAGGAGATGGTACAGTGAAAGCAGGCGCGTACGCAGGGGGGGGGGGGGGGGTTAAACTCCCCCCCCTCGAGTTTTTTTTATGTGTATGTTTTGTGTATATTTTTTGTGAAACCCCCCCCCCCCTTTTGACCTTTTTTTGTTTAATTAAAAAAAAAATTTAAAAAAAATTATGCCAATGGCTGACCTGAAAAAGGTGACCTTACCCCCCCCCCCCAACGGAACAAAATGTCAAATTTCGAGACCCCTTAAAAAAAAAATGTTCTCTTACCCCTGTATTGTGGATAAAGATAACGCAGATCCGCGCGTGCTGTCAACTTTGACGGACGCTCATACGTTATTAAAAGGTGAACAAGTTATCAAAATGCTTGGAAAAATGTACCAAATATGATGACAGAAAAAATTCGGCGATTCTATGTTGCAAAATGCCAGTACGCGCGAAAACGCGCGCGCATGCGCGTGTGCGTGATTTTTTTTATCAAATGCTCCATATGGCCTGAAACGTATGTAAAAAAAAATTGGGATGATTTAGAGCATTTTAATTTTTTTCGTGCGCGTAAACGCGCGGACAAAAGCGTATGCGCGTGTTTGCGCACGTTTATTGACCTAAAATTGACCGGATGGATATTGATCTTAATCATAATAAATATGAATGAAAAATTGCTTTCCGTTAAGAAGATATGATCATAAGTTGATTTTCACAAAATGGCGCCTGGGTGACGTCACGATGACTTTGACTCTCTGAAAAGTCACACAGTTCTAAGTTAGACTAAAATCTATCATCATGGAAAGTTTCATGATAATGGCTTTATTCAGTTTTTAGATATCCTGCGAACAAAATTATGGCAGAATAATAAATATTTTTTTTGTTTAAATAAAGAAAATCTTGAAGAAATCAATAGGTGATACGTAGACTTCGTACGTATCACCTAATTAGCTCCATAATAAATCTTGCAACCTTGCAAAACAGTTTTTAATTTGAAAGCCTTTGGCATATTTATCCCACGATGAATATAACGTACGTAGCAAAGAGGGGGGGGGTGTATTTGTGTGGTATATAAAGAGTTAATGAACTTGCAGATTTCTACTCTTACCTAGTACAGAAAGCAGTAAGGCGAATGCTTTAGCTATTGCCAGTGCAAATTATTAAAGGCAAGAATACTACCTCGAATAACATGGACATGACTGAGGTATTCATGCAATTTGCTATTTAAATGTAAAATTATCATATCTATATCATTCAGCTAAATATTTGGTAGTCACTGTAAGTATTTAAACAAAATGAAAATATGAAGTATACATATCCCTACAGACATGCCCCTGATAAATATAAGAAGGTAAGGCGTACATTCAGTAAGAAAATTGGCCTGTACATGTAGTATAATAATAATAATAATAATACTGCACTTTATATAGCTAGTATTTTGTTATTTCTGGTAAATATTGAGAAATTGATTACTAAATACGTAATTTTGATTGGCTTTTGTAGATATTTTGTCTAAAAATGGAGTGATTGAATATTATCTCGATGATTCAGGTGCCGGTGGGACTGTTGTTGAGATATGTCCCTTCTCTGAAAGGCAACGATCAGGTGTCACTGTTTGCTGGACTCAGTCTAAACTGGTCACTACTCATAGAGTTGGATTTGATGGGAAAATGGATCTGAAATACACCAGAGCAGGAACAGGGATAGGTTACTATGCTACACATCTTCCTCTTTTAGGTATTGTATCAAGCAGTTTGTCCTTTTGTTCCACAATATTGGCTGCTCTATACCTTTTTTTCCATTCACTTTTTCAATTTTTGATTACAAACATATTTTCTTCTCTACCTCTACAAGCATTGGTATCAGTAGCTGTCATTATCATTAGAATCATTAGTATCAGCTTAGTCATTATCAACAGCATCATCATCAACCTATTTAACACCAGCATCATGATCATGATCATCTCCATCGTCAACAGCATTATTATCATCATGATCTCCATCACTCTTTGCCTCTAGTCCTGTATCAGTAGCTGTCATAATCATTAAAATCATAAGTATCAGCAGTACCATCATTATCTTCCTCATCAGCTTCATCATCATGGGTGTCGATCTGTAACTAATACCTATTCTTCAGGGGGGATGATCTATTCATTCATCCCCCCCCCCTGAGGAATAGGTATTACGTAAAGATCGACACCCATGTTCATCATCATCATCATCACCATTATCCTTGTTTCATATGATCTACATTATCATCATCACCACCATATACCTTCATCGTCATCATCAACAACATGATCATCACCATATTTAACACCAACATCATGATCATGATCATCTCCATCATCATCATCATAATCATAATCATCATCACATTTCCCCCTAAAAACCGGTCTTTTATATGTCATAATCCATGTTCATCTCATTTATTTAATTTAATTATGGTTCATCATCCCATTCCTTACCATGTCCATGTTTTATAATAAACAATGATTTGTTATAAAGAGAGTTCCTGAGAAAAAGAAACCCAAGTTTGTGGATGAATTACTCAATTATTCAAATTTGTTCGACTATTTGTAGATCATTGGACAGCTCATTTTATCCTTTTTCATATCACACAAAAACCATGATCAATGTTAGACACTCTGAATTAGAAGTATTAAAAAAACAATTAACCAAAATTAGTGAATGGCTGCTACATTTGGTTCATTATGCTTATTAAGGGTAAAATGTTAATATTGATATTATTTGTATCTTCTATTACTGATCCAGATGCCCGTCCAGATGGAAGTGGACACACTGAAATCGTCAAACCCTTACCACCACTACTCGAGACAGAAGCTAGCAGCTCATCCGATAGTGATTCAGGCGAAGGAGGTGAAGAATCTCAACTGATCAATGCCGCTAGTAGAGGCAATGTTGAACGTGTTGTGGAGATTCTATCCACGTCACCAGAAAAGGTAATCCCATTTTACTTCCTAAATTAAAAATCCATACACTCTCGAAACATTGAGATTTTATAAGTATACTGTTGGAAGTTGTGTAGCAAGAAAGTGTCACAAAAGGTAAAAATTGTCTGTTTTTATCTAATTTTATATTTGCAAGGCATTAAACTTTGTTAGTCTTGCCCACTCACGAATTGCAATATAGTTTAATGCACTTGACAGTTTCTTCTTTTCCAAAATGTCTTTTAATACGGAGTTTAACTTCTACATGTACATTGTAGTTCCCCGTAGGAGTTTTATTAACGCAACTTTAATACATAGTCCTAAGCGGCTTCATTGATATGAAATGTATATTTTTGCACATCAAATCCTTCAAAGGCAAGTATCGTGGTATATTGGTGAAGGCTCATGACTATCATACATTTATGAAAGGTCCCAGTTTGATCCTTGCTCAATATACTTGGATCCTTGGACATGTTTTTGTCCCCAAATTGGCCCTCTCAAGCCAAGTGAATTAAATTGGTAATGCTTGGGTAATACTAATTGAAGGTCCCTCGGGAAGAGCCATATTGATATTAATGAGGCTGTACTGTAGGTAAATAACTCTGTATTATCATGATTATAATATTACAGGCTAATGCAAAAATTGATGGGAAGACTGCCCTACACATCGCAGCTATCCATGGTCATCTTGAAGTAGTCCAGGCACTTATTGAGTCAGGGGCTGAGATGGATATCACTGATAATGACGGGGACACTCCGCTTCTTTATTCTGTCGAAGGGTAGGTCATGTGACAGGCAGTGATCTGACATTTGCTCCAGCAACAATCGTTAATATCGACAACTGATTTGTAAAGAAAGTAAAGAGTTAAGGCTGGCCCAAAGGAAAACAAACGCTGAGGTTTTTTTTATACATGTAGATGAATGGAAAATATTGGCAATTAAGGTATATAATTAATGCATATTCAACGAGCTCTTTGTTATACATGTTAACACAGAAATGTGAGGCGCATTGCACTTCACGTCGACATCGTAAAACGCTGCAGTGTTGCAAAGTTAGGGCTGTGTTTGGCTTTAGGTAAGGCTAAGGTTAGGGTAAGGTTTAGGTAATGTTTTTGTTCCAGGGTTGAGTTAGGAATTCACTTAGTGTCGGAAGTTACTGCAGAGAGATTAATTGGAGCATGTGTCTTACAATTTTGACGGATACATGTATGATGTGATATACAATGTACAGCCAAATCTGTGTAGAGGTGTCATGGTCTATAGCGGATACGCCTAGTGGATCACATGGTTTTAGTCCTGCCGCAGCACACGAATGTTTTCTACTCTCCACTTATGTGATGTAAATGGTTACCCGCGAGGAAGATTTTCATTGAATTCCAGAGAGCCTTAATTATCAGGGGAGCTCAGCTAATGCAAGGGTATTAATAGTACAGCAATAAGAAACATTTATATTGAGGGCTATATAAATGTTCGTTTTGTTATTATTTTCTTATTATTATTATTATTATTATTATTATTATTACTATTATTAATATAGAACCCGCTGTATAGATAAAGTTGGCTTTGAAGACACAGGTTATCATTATGTTATGCTTTTTTAAATAATATTTTATACATGAAGTATTTTTTAGCTTATGATTTAAAAATTGCAAATAGCATATATAGAACCCCAAGCATTAGAGCATAACAATTTTGTTAAAGTTTTAAATGCACATTTCAAGGAATTTTATATGTTGTAGTTTATGTGGAATTTCCAGTTGTACACAGTAGGCAAATGTCCCTTTTATTCTTAAACCTTCCACAGGAATCAACCAGCTATCACAAAGTATTTGATTGGTAAAGGAGCGGATATAAACAGAGGTAATGATACCGAACGGAGAGCGATCCATCATGCAGCTTACAGAGGGTTTGTTGACTGTGCAAGGGTCTTGATTAATCATGGATGTGACGTTAATGTACAGGTATGTATGAACTTGTCCATTATTATTATTAATATTATAGATGTGAGAGTTACCTAATATAGAGGGCTGCAGCCCACGAAATGGACAACAGACACGACGGTCAGCCCATGAGACCAACCGCCCACAAGACTGATAATGTCAAGTCTAGTGAACTTTATAAAAGTTACTTAAGGCCATTGAGACTGACAGCCCACAACTTTGTTGAAGGTTGACCAAATTGATATTTTCGGTCTTGTGGGCTGTCGTTCTCGTGGGCCATTGGTGTCATGGGCTGTTGGTCTCATGGCTATCGGTGTAGTGGGATGTCAATATAAAGGTATTATGTGGATAAATGAGAGGCATAGTCCATACAGACTTTGTTAACTGGATGACCACAACCAGCCACAACCACGCTCATATAAAATTCTCCATACGCAATATAAATAACGTAAACATGATTACAAATATTACAATAATAGGGTAATCAAATCAAAAGTAAAGTTATTTCAGAAATTGAGAAAGAAATATTTGAATTTTCTGTTAAAAGAAGCAGATTGGCCCAGGGATGGGGGGGGGGGGAGGAAAGGAGCTTTGATATCTGAAATTATAGTATACAATCGACTGAAGGAAAAAAAAATTCAGTTGTACTAGTGTTCTTATTTGTCTTTGAGGTAATTGGTTGGGGGGATTCTCCTAGAAAAGTAGTTGTTGAGGGCAAAGTTGTCATGGGTATCACTGCAGGTTATCACTGTCCTATGGTGTAGTATTGGTTTATTGGTTTGGTTTATTAAGATTTTAAAGAAATCATCAAACCGAGGCTAGGAGCTGAAATCGTTTAATTTACAGAGTAAAAAGTACATTGGATAAAAGTACATTGATAACTTATCCAAACGTGTTGAAAAAAAGTATTATGAATATTTACATGCGATTTACAAGTTCCAATGTTAATATAAATTACCATTTGTCTTGAGTAGATTGGACATTTGAGAATTGATAATTGACATGTTTATTGAAACAATGATGGAGTAGCCCACGAAGACTGATGAAGATTGTGATTTTCAAACCATAAAATCTATAAAAGTTCCTTGTTTAATACAAAGAATGAATAAATAGAGCTAAAAACTGTACATGCAGGTGAAATAAAATTTAGAAGCATAACAAGTACAGTAAAAGATCCAAGATTAAAGCTAAGTTACAAGATTGGTTAAACAGGTTAATGTTCCAAAAACTGGTAATTGTATGGGAGTAGTCATCCTGATCATGAAATAAATGTCAGGTTATATCTCTTAAGCATATAGTTATTACATCAAAGAATTCATACGTACGAGGCAATCAATTACGAACATAGAAGAATTGAAAATATGACATTAATGTTACATAACTTCTATAATTTGATAAAAGGATGCAGCGAAAGATACTCCCCTCCATGACGCTATATTCAAGAGTGTAGATGTTGTTGAACTATTGGTGAAAGTTCCAAACCTTGATGTGACTCTGGCTAACAAGATAAAGATGACACCTCTACAGTTGGCAGCTGGCCTTGGCAAACCAGAGTAAGTACTCCCCTGGTCGTATCACTTCATATTGACCTTGAATTTATACGCATGACCATTACAAATTTCATGCAAAAAAGGGGTGATTTTCAGGGGTGTATTAATGAAGAATGTTGGAAAAAAATATGTTCTTTCCTGTTTTAAAATAAATAAGGTACTTTTTGTGAATTTGTAATCGATAAGCTCCCGAATGGGGCTACATTTAGAGCCCATTTCTAACCTTTTTGATGCAAAAATGGGTCATGTGACTGGAACAAGTTATATAATGTATGAAAAATAGAGGGCTATGTTACATTCTGCTAATTATCATAGGTTTCACCTTCGGATATGATATGACACCATCGGTAAGTATCATTATGCTTGTTCCGTGTGAAGTAACAATTCCATTGTGTCACTCAAGCTTATAGGCAGGCATAAGTATTTACATCTTCTTGACTGAGCCAGGGTTGTGATGTGGCCAAGAGTTAGGTTTTGATTTGTCCTGAGCTTGAATATCTTGAAATCAATTCACAGCTCTGTATAAACAATGGCGTATATATGGATTATGGCGCCCAGAGCAATAAATGAAACTGCGACCAGTAGAAAATATATACATGACGGTGACTTGGTGATAGTTTCTGTGATTTGGTGAAGAGTCAATATATGCCACTTTTCCCATAAAAAATGTGTAGACTCGCTTATGGTGAAGGGATTGCAATTAAAAAGAAGATAACATAGCTTCATTATTATATAAGATGAATTATTTATTCATTTATTACATAGGTCATAGAATAATTATACCTTTTTGTCTACTCATTGTACATGTAGAAATTCAGTTATTATTATACATTGACTGCTGAATAATCGTTGCCAAAACATGTGTTGTACAATAAACATTGCACTCTATCTGAACGGAGGCAAATCCATTTGACAAGTTATCTTGATTTTCATGCAAGGGACAAGGGGAAGGGTGTGGTCACTCATGTACACGTATAGCAAGGATCATTAGAAAAGAGATTACAAACATCAACTTGAATTCATGATGATGAAAATCTCCTGTCTGATCTTAAATGTTTTCATTTTCTTTTATAATACATTTTAGACCTGCTGAGTTAATTACACAGAGCTTTCCTCGATCTATTGTTGCTGCAGGGGGTGATGGTCAGACCATATTGCATATCGGTGCAGCCTATAAGCATGTAGAAGTCATGAAGGTTGTTTTGGCTGTAAAGGTAATTTACTTGACTCTCAAGTACCCTAGCGAAATGTTAAGGCACATAAAGACCCATCTGGAATGCAAAAGACACAATTGTTGGTGTTAATGATGAATTTAACACTTCTGTTGCTTTATTTGTACCCTCTTTAACTGGTCACTACTTTGCCATACGAGCAATTTAGCACGAAACAATAAGCACAAACTGACTGCTTTGTGCAGTTTTGTAATTATGATGCCTTTGCTAAAAAGTTACGATTTCCAACAATTATGCGTTTGCATTTCAGTTATGACTTCAAGTACCTCTTCCTCTACGTAAGCTACCAGACAAGTGTGAAACATAAAAGCAAATTGTTTTGTCTTAGATAAAACATTCCCCCATCTGCATGCAGCTCGTTTTAAATGTCTACGTTTACGTACTTCTGATTTTACAAATGTTTTGGATTGGATTAGATATATGACAGTTGAATATCTGTAGTTGTTATGGTATGGTAAATGTGTAAAGATATACCTGAAAGTCAACTTTATTTATCTAGTACAAGGTAATACATGTACATGTACTAGGTTATCAATACACGAGACACATTATGCAATGTATATCTCTTGTTTTAACATGACTACTAAATTGTCTAATTCCCATATAGGCCTAATACAGAGGCCTCACAGTTCCTGTAGGAAATGGGTGAAGCAGGTCGAACAGTCTTCAATTTCTCAGTTAACGCAGATACTACATGATCCCCAATTAAGCTAAATCAAGCTCTTATTTAGATAAGGATGAAACTGATTTATCGATTACAATGACCAAATAATGAAAGTTTTATATTTTGTGCTGATGGAAGGATCATGGGTTGGACGTGAACGCTAAGAACGTGCAAGGAATGACAGCACTACACGTGGCTGCATTCGGAAGACAATTCCATATCATAGAGTTTCTAGTGTCACATGGTGCTGATATCAATCTTCAAAATCTTGATGATCACACTGCTCTGCACATCCTTGCCAGCACTGGAGCAAAAGATCTAAGTGATATTAACGATACTCCTACCCTGAGGAAGGTATGTCTACGTTTGTGTGTGCCAACGGATAAGAGTAGAAGTGTCTCATCGAAGAAGCCCTGGTGTTCAATAATAGAGATACATTTGATACAAAGGTTATATTCCCCAAAAGTAAAATTATATTGAGTCACATATTTTATGCAACAAACCGCAAACTCTTGGGTGCCTTTTTCACACAAAACGTACCAACATAAGCTATTAAGGTATTAATTAATGTTGTATTTGTACACAAATGTCATCAATGATTATGTTTCTCTTGATGTTTATTGATACAATGGTTGAAAATGACAGTACTTATGCCACATCCTTTCAAGAACAAAACATCATATGAATGCAATTTATTTAGATATTTTAGTTGGGCGCTGATGTAAGATTGCATCCTGTATGTTTTGGTGTCCATAAGATGCCTGCCCTAATGGAGAGATGGATAAGAAGGAATGATATTTGGTGCTGTGTAATACTCCAGACAGAGCACCCAATACTACTGAAGGAGTTTCAGACACCTGCAGTCACTTCCGTGGCCTTGTCTTGATGAGATGCCTTCCCTAATAGAGAGACTTTTATGGATGATTGATATCGATGTGATATTCCAGAGAATAAAACACGTCATTTCAATCGCTAGGATTAATTTCCTACTTCTATCACCATGTGATTGGAGGAGTATGAGTCACCAGTCATTGTTATTACTGTGGTTTATATCCCACCGCTGCCACCATTAAAATGAAGAAGTTCAAATAAACAATCAGTTCGACTGATAGGGTTCATAAACATTCGCCGATAGCAACTGACTCCAATTAGTCATTAAATAAAAGATCATGTGATTATAGTTTTATTCTGTGATTTTGAGGCTCATTAATTTGGAGGAATCTCCATAAACAACTTTTTTTAAGCAACTTGTACCATCCCCAAAATTATACTAGGGGTCCTATATTTTCAGATTTCAGGTATCCTTACTTGGTGTTCTAATAACAATATAACAAATCGCTCCATATTTGAGCAAAGATTAATTGACTTGGTGCTCTGTATTTTCTCCCAGATTCGCAAGCGTTTTAGAGATTGTAGAGTTGATAACAGTGCTGCTGCTGCACTCTGCTACATGGTTCTCAATGGAGCGTCCATATACCTAGAGAATGTACAATGTCGAACACCGCTATATTACATCAAGAATGCTGAGCTGAAGAAGACCTTGAAGAAGATCGCTCGTGAAAAGATGTAAACCAATATTTATTAACACTTTGGTTGTCGTCTTTGCCTGTCTGCATAGTCGTTTGTGCACATAACGATAGGCAATAATTGACAGAATGATTGCTTTGTGCAGCTCAATAGTTTTGCAAAATTACCCATTTCTAGTTCTAAATAGCTCCAAGATAACCCTTGTAACACCAATAAAGATGAATCTTGCACTGGAAACAGTGTTTGATACTGGATTAAGCCATTTGTATATTTATCCCAGGATACATGTGACAGAGGGATTATTTCTGTGGTATATAAAGAATTTTAAAAGATGTCAAAAATCACATGAGATCAAAATAATGACATTTTTATTGTTCTTATTTTGTGTGTACTGCCAAGCATAATGTTATTTCTACATGATGCTCTTCATGCCCCTCAAAACTGATGTTCATAAATATTTACTATTGTAAATATCCTTAACTATTTTAAATTCTTTTGGCCAATCACATAATTTCTAGTCTCATCATACATTTTCTTTTCTCTCTATATTTTTTAAACACTTGTCCTGTTTTCTTTTTGGTCGATTGATGCTATATTCATATGTCACCTTATACCCTTTCATGGCCTGAATTTATCTCTTCTGATCTTTTCATGAAAGGGTTTCTTTTAGTCCTCTACTCCTCAACTTTTGTTTTTGTTGAAAAATCCTCTTCGTTTCTTATTTGAATGATCTTACATAATAATCCTTTCTTGTCACCTTGCATTATTACCAAAAGAACTTGAACCATTTCATTCATGAATCTAGTGTACTTACAATTACATTTCTTCACTAATTGTATAATTGTAATTTCATTGTGTGTAGGATATTATGCATTTTATCAACATTTTTTTCCAGAGATGGTGATATGGCTTCATGGGAGGAACCCGGGGAGGACTCGACTGAGAATGAAAGTGGAGCTGATTTTCCCGCAGGAAACCAACAGAAAATTGACAAGCCAGAAATTGAAGGTAAACATCGACATATGAAATAAAGAAGTTAAGCCTACTGCACACAACACGTACATCTGACTACGATCAGATGTTGATAGCATTTTACGTGAACGTTTAAACAATGTTAAAACCATGATCAAGAAGTCACGCAAGATCAATTTCAGACATTCTGAATCAGAAGTATTAAGAAACCAAATGGCCCAAAAGAAGTTAATGGCTGCTACATTTGGTTCATTACGCTCTTTAAGGAAGGGAAATGATATAGAATTATTTATCATTGGAAAAAAGTATCATTTAAAAGCTCTTGATCTCTTATATTTTTAGGTGACTTTCGATTTTTGCATGTATTATGGTGTAATTTACTTTATTTGATTATTTGGTAAAACAAACAACATCAACCTTGAGCGGCATGTCATGCTCTTTTGACAAATCCATTCAATTTAAAAATTCAATTTATTTCTAATGTCAAACCTCTTAATTTCATTGATGTGATTGTTTTGATAACAGGTAAAGAGGTTGGTTTGAAGGTGGGAGATCTGGTAGCTATTACTCTGGACAGTGAAACATTGCATATCATGCAACAGATGGGTGGGCAAGAGTGGCTACCAGAAATGGGAAATGTGAGTAGCATGATACAAATACAAATGATTAGATAAACAAACATACAACAAACGTACGCAGACAAGGAAAAGCCATGAAATAAAATAGAAAATGCGTAAACAACTTTTTAACATGTAAATTTAAGTAAAGGAAATGTTAACAAGTACAAAAAATAACAGAGACCGAATAAATGGATGCAAAGATAACTTAAAACAAATAATCAAACAAATGTGTAACGAACTATTATAAACGAGCAATCTATTTTTAGCAGAACACATCATTTGTGTTGCAGAGGAGCTGTGAACTTAGTAAAGTTAGCTACACAGCCTGTATGTAAAAACAAACACCTGTAGTTTTATGAAGTATATTTAAAGTACCCCCCCCCCCCAATATCTAAATACATAAATAGATGTATATGTTTGATATGTGTATATACTGTAACATACAGAGTATAATAGGGTTGTTTTGATATAAAGTGAAATATTTAATTAACATTGTCACGTGGAATACCGTCTAATTCCATTTATCATATTTTCGCACTCTTTACCCTTCCAGCTGTATGGGAAGGTTGCCAAGGTTACTGGTATCAACTCAAGCGGGAATGCAGAGGTCACTTACCCTGAGAGAAAAGAACAACCTTTCACCTTCAATCCACATGTACTGAACAAGGTATGGTCTGAAGCTGTACGTCACTTGCTCTTGCGACAAGTGCTCAGCAGTAATTTCTAAATTTAACCTTGGACCCAACACTATTGCTAACCCTAGCCCTAAAACTAACTCTATACATGTACTTTTCAAGAAATAAAGCGCCACGCAATAGTTGCCAGAGAAATTTTCTGAGTATCATCGTCTAAAATGTATATAAATAAGTGAAATAGCATTGATGATGACTATTGATATGTTCTTGAATTGAGGGATGTACATGCTGTATATATAATCTATGTTTGTATGGTTGCTCAAATTGATCTTCACTTTATTTTCCTTCCTACATGTAATTTCACATCTGCCAGAGATTTATTTGTATAAAGATTTCATGTTTACTCACTGTAACTCCTCATCTCTGTCTCTTTCTGTCTGTCTGTTTGTCCATGGTTTGTCCCTCCCTCTACCTCTATTGCCCTCTCTTGCTTACCCCCTTCTTTATATCTCTGTTTTGCATACACACACACACACACACACACACGCACTTTAAAAAAAAAAAAATTAACAATTTTGTTTTATTTCTCCAGATATATAATACAAACCATGACATACAATTGAATAAAATAAACATATTCAATATTAATGCTTTGACATAAACATAATTAAACACAAACTTATTTGCAGTATAATATAACTTAGCAACAAAGTAAACGTATAAGTACCTAAACATAATATGTCAATTGTAAATGTTATTTACTTATATATTACAACAACAAAAAACTTAAACAAATCTGGAGATAATTTTACTGAAACAATCCTGCCCCTTCCCTACCCCCTCCATCACACAAACATACTCACCCTCTATCACACAAACATACTCACCCGCCCACACACATACTCACTCAGTGGATGTCTCCCAACATTCTCAACTCAAGAAAAATATACTAAATAAGTTATCCAGGCCGCAAAATCGAGTTACGCTTTTAACAGGCTCAAGGTGGAGAAGAAAGCAAATCTTAATTAATCTTAAGCTGCTCCCACTTCAGGAAATGTGATCCTAGCTTTCCCATTTTAATTGCTATTTTCTTTTCCTCATCCCTATACTTAAAAATGCTTTTTTTCATCTTTTCTAAAGTTATTACTCGCCCCCCCCCCCCGATCTTGACATAAATGTTACATACTTCACCATGAAAATGATGGTATTACACATTTTTATTCTATATGAACTACCTACCAACCCAACAAATATATCTCGCCATTCTAAATCTTTAATTTCATCTAACTCAAAAAGTTGTATTAAAGCCTGCCATATCCTTTGAACGCTCCCACAAGATAAAAATAAATGTTTGTATGTTTCTATTTCCTGCTTACAAAACGAACATAAATTATCACCAACAAAACCAAATCTATGAAGATGCTCATTAGTGTATATGGCTCCATGCAATAATTTAAATTGAAATTCACGTTGTTTTCTAATGAGTATAGTAATTCGTGGTCTAACAAATATTTCTTTTAATTCTTTATCTATAAAATCATAATTATTTTGCCCATCCCTTACCTGCAAATCATACGTTTGTTGCAGTGCTTTGATAAAATAATCATAGATTGTTCTTGAACCCACATCCACAAACTGTATTTTTTTACTAGAAATATGGAAATAAGTATTAAAGCTTATCAAATCAACCTCGAGGAATTCTATTAACCCTGAATCATCCTTCCATAACCTGGGTATCGCATCATAAATATCAATAATCATAAGCAAATTATTACCTTTCATACCGAAGTTCATAAAATATTTAACAGACTTAACATGACCTTTCTCAACCAAATGATTCAGTTGAACAATCCCTCTTTCAAACAAGTATCTATCAAATATACTTTTTCCATTTATACATATATTCTGATTATTAAAAATAATTGGATTAATATAACCCTCCAAATATCTTAAATTACTTGTCTCTTGTCATGCTTGCAACATTTCCATATAGTATGGTGGAATATCTAAAACGAGTTTAATCTTTTTTAAATCATAATCACATAAAAAAAAAAAATCTACCACCCACAAACTGTAAGCAATGATCAAAAAACAATTTCCATCCCAAACTTTTCTCTCCATATAAAAGACGTTTTATCCACATTATGCGCTGTATTTTAACGGACATTTCAAAATTAATCATTCTTAATCCTCCAAAGTCATAATCCTGATACATTATTGCCCGTTTATTCTATCTTTCCCCCTCCATATGAATTCAAATGAAATTTTTGCAACTTCTTTATATACCCAATGAGGGACAATAACGAGAGATGAAATATAATTTAATTTTGAAAGCGCATAAGTTTTTAGCAAATGTATTTTACCCATAATAGTTAAATCTCTTTGTTTCCACCATACAAGCAATTTTTTTATTTTACTTAGAATTTCTTTATAATTCAAATCATCTTTTAATCTTTGATCTAATGAATAACAAACCCCTAAAATATGTATTTCCTTAACCAAATTTCCAAATAAAGGCCCATCAGGTTTGTTCTCATCCTCACCCATCCACATAAAATGTGTCTTTGTTTTATTCACTTTAAGACCACTAATTTGTTCAAATGATTCAAAAATATATTGCAACCTTCTAACCGAATCAATATCCTTCAAAAATATTGTCATATCATCTGCATATAACACTTGCCTAATTTCAGATTTTCCAAATGTAATCCCTTTAATACCGTTGTCCCTCCTTACTGCATACGCCAAAATTTCGATGGCAACCAAAAACAAATATGGCGATAATGGATCCCCTTGCCTTACTCCCCTTTCTATTTCAAAATACCCCGTGGAGTGACCACCGTTCATAACACAACTACTTATCCCTTTATACAATAATTTTACCCAAGAGCAAAATGAATCTCCAAAACCGAACAATTTCAATATTTGAAATAAATATCTATGAGATACAGAGTCGAAAGCTTTCTCAAAATCTACTGCACACAAAAACCCTTTCCCTTGTTCCCCATAATGCATAGAATAAAATAACATGTCATCTATCAATCGTACAGCTTCCCCAATATTTCTATCTTTTATATATCCAACTTGATCATGATGAATTATTTCATTTAAAACCTCTTTCATTCTTTTTGCTAGAACTTTAGATACAATTTTATAATCTACATTCAAAAGCGTGATGGGTCGATAATTTTTTATATGGAGAGTATCTTTCGCTTCCTTCTCAATTAAGGTAATTACCCCTTGTTTTCGAGATGCCGTTAATTCCCCCCTTTCGTATGTTTCATTCAATACTTCTACTAACAAATCACCCAAAGCTGGCCAAAAAGTATAATAAAATTCAACTGTTAACCCATCATTTCCCGGGGTTTTATTCAATTTCATTTCTTTTAAAACTTTCAAGCATTCATCTTTAGTTAATTTACCTTCACAGATTTCCCTATTGTCTTCATTTAACTTTGAAATATCATTAAAAAAGAAAGGGTCGTTTTGATTTATATCAGCCCTTAAAGAATATAAATCTTTATAAAATAGTTTAATTTCCTTTAAAATTTCCTCCTTATCTCTAGTAGTTTCCCCATTTTCTTTGTACACCTCCCTAATTACACTTTTCCTTTTATTCGATTTTAACAACTGTTCAAAATATTGCGTATTGTTTTCTCCATCTTCAAACCTAGGTGCTCTTGATCTTATTTTAATGCCCTGTCGAGAAAAATCATACAATTTATTTAGTTTATCCCTTTTCTCCTCAATACAATCAACAATATATTTAGTGGGTCCCACTACTAGTTCGCCTTCTAAATCCTTGATTTGTTTCTCTAACAGTTCTATTTCAACCCTCCTTGCTTTTGCCTTTTTCCGCGAGTATGTTATAATAAATTCTCTCATTTTCATCTTTAAAAAATCCCAAAATACTAATTTATTCAAAATCTGTAATGACCATTCAGCTTTTGATTCCTGTATTTCCTTATTCATCTCTTCAACAAAATCTTTATCCATACATAAACTACTGTTAAATTTCCAATATGATTTCCCCAAAACAAACTTATCAACCAGATCATTAAATTCTAGCCTAACGCCAGAATGATCTGGCGTAATAGATGTCAAAATCTCACACGTACCCACCCATTTTTCAACACTACAAGGTATAAACCAATAATCTAAACGGCTTTGCACCACCGGCCAATTTTGTCGAAAAGTAAATTGCTTTACATTCGGATTTTTTTTCCTCCATATATCTTCTAAATCGTATTTATTTAAAAATTCCTTAATCAAATCAATAACCCGAGATTTCACCGGTGTTTTTGACCCCACATAATCTAATTTTCCATCCAATATACTATTGAAATCACCTCCTAATAAAACTAAATAGTCCCGATCACACTGATCAAAAATACTTTCATCTAACTTCTTCAAAAATTCAATTTGTAAAGTTTCTTTATCTCTCGTCGGAAAATAAACATTAACCAATAGCATTTTAACCCTTTGTATTTCACCTTTAAAAATAATGTATCTCCCCTCTTCATCTACTTTATTTTTTTTTTCTTCAAAATCTAAATGATTAGAAAATAAAATAAGAACCCCTCTACTATGGTTTGACCCATGACTAAAAAACATTGGCCCTCCCCAATCTTGTTTCCACCGCTCTTCTATCTCTACTGTACTATATGTTTCTTGTAAGAAAATTATACTATTCTTTTTAGTTTTGCACCATTCAAAAATATTCACTCTTTTTAATCTATCTCTTATTCCTCTAACATTTAATGTCATGAAAGATAATTTCACTGCCATGTTATTTTATGTGTAATTGTATCCAAAACCTTACATCGATAAACTCCAAAGAAACTTCCACATAATCTATTTCCACCGTGAGCAAATGTATAGAAAAAACTATCTGCAGCCAAACATACATGCATACTTATCGTCGAATTATATAAAAAATGCAAGCAGAATCCACCCCGTACCACACAACCCAACGCATTCATACACACAAGCATATTCACTACACACACAACACCCCCACACAAAACAACCCAAATCTGCTCTTCGGTGTACATAAACATCCGAGAGCAAGAGCCTCCCCCTTTCCCTGTCAATTTAACTAGACCAATGACAGAATAAACCAATGAACATTTCTTCTTGCACAAGTCGATGAGAAATACGTTGTATTGTTATATAACCGTAATCTAATTAAACCAACAACAAACAAAAAAATACAAAGAGCTTTTATCCCTTAACAAATGCCTTGAATTGTATTACGGAACCCGCTCGTCATAACTAAGTTAAATGATTTTCCTAAAATGCATTACAGTGAATTGACCGGCCCGCGTACCTAATCACAATACGCACCTTCTAATTAAAAATAAAAACACGATCCCAATAAACCAAATTCCCCCAAACGACACCAGTTCGGCAACCTAATAAACTGTTCGTGCAAACCGAACCCATCATGCTATCATTTACCAAGTTCTATAATTTGCATAATATGCCTCACCCATGAATGAATAGACCGACTTCACGCACCTGATCATTTTGTATGCACTCCGTAAAAAAAACTCCTAAAGGGCGTTCCCGACAAATCGAAAGAACAACAAACGTCAGCCCGACATAATGATAGGCAAGCATGCATACCGGATTCCAACACGTTCCTCCCTCTCAAAACATCACACCACCACCTGGCTTTAAAAAATAGTTTTGGCTGGGTGAACAGATCGGACCATTATCCAGATACTCGAATTGTTTTCACTTTACAGAAAAAGTTTTAAATATGTATCAGTCATTTACTAAGATATGTGAATTTACATAGAATGCGTTATCGAAATAAAGCTCATTGTAATATAAAAAAAGCCGTCGTTACCCAGATACTATGGCATTGTATAAAGGCGTTGCAATATACATCGTGAAAGAAAGCGGACGTTCAAAAGAGTTTACGGAAAGTACCTTGCAATAAAGCTCATTGTAATACCAAGAGCCGTGTTACCCAGATATTATGTTTTGCATAAATAGGCGTTACCACAAAGTACTTGAATATCGTGAAAGAGAACAAATCCCCAACAGACCAGCAAGGTTTATGGAAAGTACCTTGCAATAAAGCTCATTATAATACCAAGACCCGTGTTACCCAAATATTACGTTTTGCATATATAGGTGTTACAACAAAGTACTTAAATATTGTGAAAGAGAACAGATCCCCAACATACCAGCAAGGTTTATGGAAAGTACCTTGCAATAAAGCTCATTGTAATACCAAGAGCCGTGTTACCCAGATATTATGTTTTGCATAAATAGGCGTTACCACAAAGTACTTGAATATCGTGAAAGAGAACAAATCCCCAACAGACCAGCAAGGTTTATGGAAAGTACCTTGCAATAAAGCTCATTATATTACCAAGAGCCGTGTTACCCAAATATTACGTTTTGCATATATAGGCGTTACAACAAAGTACTTAAATATTGTGAAAGAGAACAGATCCCCAACAGACCAGCAAGGTTTATGGAAAGTATCTTGCAATAAAGCTCATTGTAATACCAAGAGCCGTGTTACCCAGATATTATGTTTTGCATAAATAGGCGTTACAACAAAGTACTTAAAAATCGTGAAAGAGAACAGATCCCCAACAGACCATCAATACATTTACCCCTCTATCTGAATTTACATAGATTTGCGTTATAAAATAATGAAATAGTCAATATACTGTTTAAGCATCTTTTGAGGGAAATGTTTCTTCTCACTTCACGCATGCATGCTTAGGGTTGTAATACAAATCCTGCTACAATTCTTTTTGTTTTCTTTTTTTTAAATACCAAGTTATATAATTTGCATATCATGCGTCACAAATGATAAACAAATGATGAAACACTACTGCCAATTCGAAATAGCACCAGGGAATGTATCCGGACCGGTCCCCAAGCATTTTAGCCCTCTCAATAAACAACACCACCTGGCACCATTGAAATATTTTGGAAACCTCACTCCGAGGCTTCGCTTTATATTTCATATACACTGAAGAAAGAAAAAAAAATGTGTGTGATATTAACTCTTGATAAACGTACGATAATCTTCTCAAGTTTTGTATAATTTTTTTAAAACTAAAGAAACGAACAGAATATGTATATATATATATATACATCCTTTTCTTCCTCTTTTTGAATAATTAAAAAAAAAAAAAAAACACCACGCAAGCACAAACACGCTTTCCCACACCCTCTCTCTTACACAATCTCTCTCTTTCTTCTCTCTTTAACACAGTGTATCATTTTCATCATTTTCTCCATTGAATTTATATTTATATATGTCCAGGTTCCTAGGCTAGGTAAGGGAGACCGTGTGCAGATCAATAAAGACTTGACGTTTGTGAGGAATCTTCACGAAAACAGTCTAAATGGATGGATCGATGGCATGGAAAAGGTCAGTCAAACAAAACTTATATACAATATGAAGTTCTGTATGACTTGTTAACACTTTATGTTCCCATAAAGTACCATGTCTGATACCAGCAATTGAGCCCCAGTGTGCTTGGGTTTGGCATGAACCAGAGAAGAAAACTAAATGTAAAACCTCCCCCACTTCGAAAATGTTACTTATGAAAGGAATTGCAAAAAGCAAAATAAACTCGAAGGAATGGACTGATTCTATTGCTACAAATTACTTCACAAATGTTTAATACATTGTACCAAGTTTATCATACTTGCACATGCATGTCCTGGAAACAAAATATTGAAATATGATTGGCTTGGCGATAATTAAGAATTCAAATCTCTCATAAAGATAAATCAGTATGTCGCAAGACATCTAAACCCTGTATAGATCAAAATTGTAATCAATCAAAGCTGACCATTCATTTTAGGCAAAAATAAAAATAATTGTTTCACACTTTTTTCAACTTGTGTTATTTTGGGAGACATGACGTCTAGTGGCCTTTCATTAGAAAAGTACGGTTACTACTCAGGGAACCACTGGTGATTATGACATAGGAAGGTCTTACCATATTTTTGAATGTCGATTTGTGGTCTTTTTAGGAAGCTCTTTGGGACCCAATATTAAATTTTTAATATGAAATCCCATTTCACTACGGATCAAATACAATATACTATTTAATACAAAGAGTTGGACCAGTATAATACCTTCTTTTAATGAGAGTATGTTTATATTAAAGTGTTCTTTAAGGTTTCGATACTTGCATTATATATGATTACTATGTTCAACTTTGCTTTTCTTGGAAGACTGGTAGCAAAAGCTTGTATTTAATAATTCTGTAGCCTTTCTCCAAAAACAAAAGGTATATTGCACCCTTGTGATTATGAGTGTCACGTGAGAGTTACTCATCAAAATGAATACTCTCTAACATTATCTGTTTATACAGTCAAACCTGCTTTAGTGACCACCTGTCTACAACAAGCATATTTTTTGTTTCCCTTGAAAATGGTTTATAATTGAAACATGTACTGAAGAAACCTGTCTACAAAGACAATCTATTTTTAGCAGAACACATCATTTGTGTTGCAGAGGAGCTGTGAACAACATTAGTAAAGTTAGCTACACAGCCTGTATGTAAAAACAAACACCTGTAGTTTTATGAAGTATATTTAAAGTACCCCCCCCCCCCAATATCTAAATACATAAATAGATGTATATGTTTGATACGTGTATATACTGTAACATACAGAGTATAATAGGGTTGTTTTGATATAAAATGAAATATTTAATTAACATTGTCACGTGGAATACCGTCTAATTCCATTGATCATATTTTCGCACTCTTTACCCTTCTAGCTGTATGGGAAGGTTGCCAAGGTTACTGGTATCAACTCCAGCGGGAATGCAGAGGTCACTTACCCTGAGAGAAAAGAACAACCTTTCATCTTCAATCCAGATGTACTGAACAAGGTATGGTCTTAAGCTGTACGTCACTTGCTCTTGCGACAAGTGCTCAGCAGTAATTTCTAAATTTAACCTTGGACCCAACACTATTGCTAACCCTAGCCCTAAAACTAACTCTATACATGTACTTTTCAAGAAATAAAGCGCCACGCAATAGTTGCCAGAGAAATTTTCTGAGTATCATCGTCTAAAATGTACATAAATAAGTGAAATAGCATTGATGATGACTATTGATATGTTCTTGAATTGAGGGATGTACATGCTGTATATATAATCTATGTTTGTATGGTTGCTCAAATTGATCTTCACTTTATTTTCCTTCCTACATGTAATTTCACATCTGCCAGAGATTTATTTGTATAAAGTTTTCATGTTTACTCACTGTAACTCCTCATCTCTGTCTCTTTCTTTCTGTCTGTTTGTCCATGGTTTGTCCCTCCCTCTACCTCTATTGCCCTCTCTTGCTTACCTCCTTCTTTATATCTCTGTTATGCATACACACACACACGCACTTTTTTTTTTTTAACAATTTTGTTTTATTTCTCCAGATGTGTAACACAAACCATGACATACAATTGAATAAAATAAACGTGTTCAATATTGATGCTTTTGCATAAACATAATTAAACACAAACTTATTTGCAGTATAATATAACTTAACAACAAAGTAAACGTATAAGTACCTAAACATAATATGTCAATTGTAAATGTTATTTACTTATATATTACAAAAAAAAAACAAATCTGGAGATAATTTTACTGAAACAATCCTGCCCCCTCCCTGCCCCCTACATCACACAGACATACTCACCCTCTATCACACAAACATACTCACCCACTCACACACATACTCACCGTCCCACCCACCCACCCCCCCCCCCCCCCCCCACACACACACACACACACAGTACTCACTCAGTGGATGTCTGCCAACATTCTCAACTTAAGAAAAATATACTAAATAAGTTATCCAGGCCGCAAAATCGAGTTACGCTTTTAACAAGCTCACGGTGGAGAAGAAAGCAAATCTTAATTAATCTTAAGCTGCTCCCACTTTAAAAAATGTGATCCTAGCTTTCCCATTTTAATTGCTATTTTCTTTTCCTCATCCCTATACTTAAAAATGCTTTTTTTCATCTTTTCTAAAGTTAGTACTCGCCCCCCCCCCCCGATCTTGACATAAATGTAACATACTTCACCATGAAAATGATAGTATTACACATTTTTATTCTATATGAACTACCTACCAACCCAACAAATATATCTCGCCATTCTAAATCTTTAATTTCATCTAACTCAAAAAGTTGTATTAAAGCCTGCCATAACCTTTGAACGCTCCCACAAGATAAAAATAAATGTTTGTATGTTTCTATTTCCTGCTTACAAAACGAACATAAATTATCACCAACAAAACCAAATCTATGAAGATGCTCATTAGTGTATATGGCTCCATGCAATAATTTAAATTGAAATTCACGTTGTTTTCTAATGAGTATAGTAATTCTTGGTCTCACAAATATTTCTTTTAATTCTTTATCTATAAAATCATAGTCATTTTGCCCATCCCTTACCTGCAAATCATACGTTCGCTGCAGTGCTTTGATGAAATAATCATAGATTGTTCTTGAACCCACATCCACAAACTGTATTTTTTTACTAGAAATATGGAAATAAGTATTAAAGCTTATCAAATCAACCTCGAGGAATTCTATTAACCCTGAATCATCCTTCCATAACCTGGGTATCGCATCATAAATATCAATAATCATAAGCAAATTATTACCTTTCATACCGAGGTTCATAAAATATTTAACAGGCTTAACATGACCTTTCTCAACCAAATGATTCAGTTGAACAATCCCTCTTTCAAACAAGTATCTATCAAATATACTTTTTCCATTTATACATATATTCTGATTATTAAAAATAATTGGATTAATATAACCCTCCAAATATCTTAAATTACTTGTCTCTTGCCATGCTTGCAACATTTCCATATAGTATGGTGGAATATCTAAAACGAGTTTAATCTTGTTTAAATCATAATCACATAAAAAAATAAATCTACCACCCACAAACTGTAAGCAATGATCAAAAAACAATTTCCATCCCAAACTTTTCTCTCCATATAAAAGACGTTTTATCCACATTATGCGCTGTATTTTAACGGACATTTCAAAATTAATCATTCTTAATCCTCCAAAGTCATAATCCTGATACATTATTGCCCGTTTAATTCTATCTTTCCCCCTCCATATGAATTCAAATGAAATTTTTGCAACTTCTTTATATACCCAATGAGGGACAATAACGAGAGATGAAATATAATTTAATTTTGAAAGCGCATAAGTTTTTAGCAAATGTATTTTACCCATAATAGTTAAATCTCTTTGTTTCCACCATACAAGCAATTTTTTTATTTTACTTAGAATTTCTTTATAATTCAAATCATCTTTTAAACTTCGATCTAATGAATAACTAACCCCTAAAATATGTATTTCCTTAACCAAATTTCCAAATAAAGGCCCATCAGGTTTGTTCTCATCCTCACCCATCCACATAAAATGTGTCTTTGTTTTATTCACTTTAAGACTACTAATTTTTTCAAATGATTCAAAAATATATTGCAACCTTCTAACCGAATCAATATCCTTCAAAAATATTGTCATATCATCTGCATATAACACTTGCCTAATTTCAGATTTTCCAAATGTAATCCCTTTAATACCGTTGTCCCTCCTTACTGCATGCGCCAAAATTTCGATGGCAACCAAAAACAAATATGGCGATAATGGATCCCCTTGCCTTACTCCCCTTTCTATTTCAAAATACCCCGTGGAGTGACCACCGTTCATAACACAACTACTTATCCCTTTATACAATAATTTTACCCAAGAGCAAAATGAATCTCCAAAACCGAACAATTTCAATATTTGAAATAAATATCTATGAGATACAGAGTCGAAAGCTTTCTCAAAATCCACTGCACACAAAAACCCTTTCCCTTGTTCCCCATAATGCATAGAATAAAATAACATGTCATCTATCAATCGTACAGCTTCCCCAATATTTCTATCTTTTATATATCCAACTTGATCATGATGAATTATTTCATTTAAAACCTCTTTCATTCTTTTTGCTAGAACTTTAGATACAATTTTATAATCTGTGTTTAAAAGCGTGATGGGTCGATAATTTTTTATATGGAGAGTATCTTTCGCTTCCTTCTCAATTAAGGTAATTACCCCTTGTTTTTGAGATGCCGTTAATTCCCCCCTTTCGTATGTTTCATTCAATACTTCTACTAACAAATCACCCAAAGCTGGCCAAAAAGTATAATAAAATTCAACTGTTAACCCATCATTTCCCGGGGTTTTATTCAATTTCATTTCTTTTAAAACTTTCAAGCATTCATCTTTAGTTAATTTACCTTCACAGATTTCCTTATTGTCTTCATTTAACTTTGAAATATCATTGAAAAAGAAAGGGTCGTTTTGATTTATATCAGCCCTTAAAGAATATAAATCTTTATAAAATAGTTTAATTTCCTTTAAAATTTCCTCCTTATCTCTAGTAGTTTCCCCATTTTCTTTGTACACCTCCCTAATTACACTTTTCCTTTTATTCGATTTTAACAACTGTTCAAAATATTGCGTATTGTTTTCTCCATCTTCAAACCAAGGTGCTCTTGATCTTATTTTAATGCCCTGTCGAGAAAAATCATACAATTTATTTAGTTTATCCCTTGTCTCCTCAATACAATCAACAATATATTTAGTGGGTCCCACTACCAGTTCGCCTTCTAAATCCTTGATTTGTTTCTCTAACAGTTCTATTTCAACCCTCCTTGCTTTTGCCTTTTTCCGCGAGTATGTTATAATAAATTCTCTCATTTTCATCTTTAAAAAATCCCAAAATACTAATTTATTCAAAATCTGTAATGACCATTCAGCTTTTAATTCCTGTATTTCCTTATTCATCTCTTCAACAAAATCTTTATCCATACATAAACTACTGTTAAATTTCCAATATGATTTCCCAAAAACAAACTTATCAACAAGATCATTAAATTCTAGCCTAACGCCAGAATGATCTGGCGTAATAGATGTCAAAATCTCACACGTACCCACCAATTTTTCAACACTACAAGGTATAAACCAATAATCTAAACGGCTTTGCACCACCGGCCAATTTTGTCGAAAAGTAAATTGCTTTACATTCGGATTTTTTTTCCTCCATATATCTTCTAAATCGTATTTATTTAAAAATTCCTTAATCAAATCAATAACCCGAGATTTCACCGGTGTTTTTGACCCCACATAATCTAATTTTCCATCCAATATACTATTGAAATCACCTCCTAATAAAACTAAATAGTCCCGATCACACTGATCAAAAATACTTTCATCTAACTTCTTCAAAAATTCAATTTGTAAAGTTTCTTTATCTCTCGTTGGAAAATAAACATTAACCAATAGCATTTTAACCCTTTGTATTTCACCTTTAAAAATAATGTATCTCCCCTCTTCATCTACTTTAATTTTTTTTTCTTCAAAATCTAAATGATTAGAAAATAAAATAAGAACCCCTCTACTATGGTTTGACCCATGACTAAAAAACATTGGCCCTCCCCAATCTTGTTTCCACCGCTCTTCTATCTCTACTGTACTATATGTTTCTTGTAAGAAAATTATACTATTCTTTTTAGTTTTGCACCATTCAAAAATATTCACTCTTTTTAACCTATCTCTTATTCCTCTAACATTTAATGTCATGAAAGATAATTTCACTGCCATGTTATTTTATGTGTAATTGTATCCAAAACCTTACATCGATAAACTCCAAAGAAACTTCCACACAATCTATTTCCACCGTGAGCAAATGTATAGAAAAAACTATCTGCAGCCAAACATATATGCATACTTATCGTCGAATAATATAAAAAAATGCAAGCAGAATCCACCCCGTACCACACAACCCAACGCATTCATACACACAAGCATATTCACTACACACACAACACCCCCACACAAAACAACCAAAATCTGCTCTTCGGTGTACGTAAACATCCGAGAGCAAGAGCCTCCCCCTTTCCCTGTCAATTTAACTAGACCAATGACAGAATAAACCAATGAACATTTCTTCTTGCACAAGTCGATGAGAAATACGTTGTATTGTTATATAACCGTAATCTAATTAAACAAAACAAAAACAAAATACAAAGAGCTTTTATCCCTTAACAAATGCCTTGAATTGTATTACGGAACCCGCTCGTCATAACTAAGTTAAATGATTTTCCTAAAATGCATTACAGTGAATTGACCGGCCCGCGTACCTAATTACAATACGCACCTTCTAATTAAAAATAAAAACACGATCCCAATAAACCAAATTCCCCCAAACGACACCAGTTCGGCAACCTAATAAACTGTTCGTGCAAACCGAACCCATCATGCTATCATTTACCAAGTTCTATAATTTGCATAATAAGCCTCACCCATGAATGAATAGGCTCACACATCTGATCGTTTTGTATGCACTCCGTAAAAAAAAACTCCTAAAGGGCGTTCCCGACAACTCGAAAGAACACCAAACGTCAGCCCGACATAATGATAGGCAAGCATGCATACCGGATCCCAACACGTTCCTCCCTCTCAAAACATCACACCACCACCTGGCTTTAAAACAAAATAGTTTTGGCTGGGTGAACAGATCGGACCATTATCCAGATACTCGAATTGTTTTCACTTTACAGAAAAAGTTTTAAATATGTATCAGTCATTTACTAAGATATGTGAATTTACATAGAATGCGTTATCGAAATAAAGCTCATTGTAATATTTAAAAAAAGCCGTCGTTACCCAGATACTATGGCATTGTATAAAGGCGTTGGAATATACATCGTGAAAGAAAGCGGACGTTCAAAAGAGTTTATGGAAAGTACCTTGCAATAAAGCTCATTGTAATACCAAGAGCCGTGTTACCCAGATATTATGTTTTGCATAAATAGGCGTTACCACAAAGTACTTGAATATCGTGAAAGAGAACAAATCCCCAACAGACCAGCAAGGTTTATGGAAAGTACCTTGCAATAAAGCTCATTATAATACCAAGAGCCGTGTTACCCAAATATTACGTTTTGCATATATAGGCGTTACAACAAAGTACTTAAATATTGTGAAAGAGAACAGATCCCCAACAGACCAGCAAGGTTTATGGAAAGTACCTTGCAATAAAGCTCATTGTAATACCAAGAGCCGTGTTACCCAGATATTATGTTTTGCATAAATAGGCGTTACAACAAAGTACTTAAAAATCGTGAAAGAGAACAGATCCCCAACAGACCATCAATACATTTACCCCTCTATCTGAATTTACATAGATTTGCGTTATAAAATAATGAAATAGTCAATATACTGTTTAAGCATGTTTTGAGGGAAATGTTTCTTCTCACTTCACGCATGCATGCTTAGGGTTGTAATACAAATCCTGCTACAATTCTTTTTGTTTTCTTTTTTTTAAATACCAAGTTATATAATTTGCATATCATGCGTCACAAAATGATAAACAAATGATGAAACACTACTGCCAATTCGAAATAGCACCAGGGAATGTATCCGGACCGGTCCCCAAGCATTTTAGCCCCCTTAATAAACAACACCACCTGGCACCATTGAAATATTTTGGAAACCTCACTCCTACACATACTTAACCCCTTTATTCCACAAGTGGCAAAGCTTAGAAAAGGGAACTGAAACCAACAGCCCTTGGCGCGACAATCTTATTAAAATATTATTATTGCTTTGGTTAGAACAATTAATGAACAACCTCTAGCAAAAAAAAAAAAAAAAAAAAAAATTGCCTGCAAAATCCCCCTTTTTTCTCAATGTTGTCACTTCATCTCCGATATTCAACATTTAAGGCATTATGGAGACGAAGTTGCACACAAATCAAACCTCGCCTTCTACATACCCAACAACGATGAGAAACCCGAGGCTTCGCTTTATATTTCATATACACTGAAGAAAGAAAAAAAAAAAATGTGTGTGATATTAACTCTTGGTAAACGTACGATAATCTTCTCAAGTTTTGTATCATTTTTTTAAAACTAAAGAAACGAACAGAATATGTATATATGTATATACATCCTTTTCTTCCTCTGTTTGAACAATAATTAAAAAAAACAAAAAAAAAAAAAAAAAAAACACCATTGTCATATACGTGACAGGCTAGTTTAGCCCAAAAATTTCACATTGGCTAATGTGTAGTAAACATAAACAATACTTTATAACTTATAACTGGTACTTTCCTTAATTATTTCCTCGCTTATTCCTTCTCTTTCCCTCCCTTCTCCTCTCCTTTCCCCCTCTTCCTTCTTTTCCCCTTTCTCCCTCTTATCATTTCTCTTCTATTTTTCCTTTCCAAACTTCCACATTAAACCTGTCGTTTTCAATAGTATCCCCAAGTTGAAAGCACGTGAAATCTCCTCCATGCAGCCTTCATTAATGGGGAGGTAGATGGGGATGAACATAAATTCATCTCTTCCATACCAATAGATCGCTGACAGAGCAATAATAAACAAGCCCTGCCAAACAAACCATCAGCCTGAAGAATCTTTTATTTTAAAAAAGAAACTCAAAGTTGTCACTTCATCTCCGATATTCAACATGTAAGGCATTATGGAGACGAAGTTGAACAAAAATCAAACCTCGCCTTCCACATACCCAACAACGATGAGAAACCCGGGGCTTCACTTTATATTTAATATACACTACGATTATATACCATAAATTATCAGGAAAAACAAAAAATGTGTGTGATATTAACTCTTGATAAAAGTACGATAATCTTCTCAATTTTTTGTATCATTTCTTTAAAACTAAACAAACAAAATATGTAGGCCTATATATTTATATACATTAAACAAAGATCCCTCTCATAATATACCTGACAGGCTAGTTTGACCCATACATTTCACATTGGCTAATGTATAGTTCACAATACTTTATAGCTTGTACTTTTCTTTTCCTCGTTCCCCATTTTATCTAATTATTTTTCCTTTCTTTTCCCCTCCCTCCTTTCCCTTCTCCTTTCCTCCTCTTCTCTCCTATCTCTTTCCTCTCTCTTTCATCTTCTTCTATTTTTTCTTTCCAAACTTCCACATTAAACCTGTCGTTTTCAATAGTATCCCCAAGTTGAAAGCACGTGAAATCTCCTCCATGCAGCCTTCATTAATGGGGAGGTAGATGGGGATAAAAATAAATTCATCTCTTCCATACCAATAGATCGCTGACAGAGCAATAATAAACAAGCCCTGCCAAACAAACCATCAGCCTGAAGAATCTTTTATTTTAAAAAAAGAACTCAATGTTGTCACTTCATCTCCGATATTCAACATGTAAGGCATTATGGAGACGAAGTTGAACAAAATCAAACCTCGCCTTCCACATACCCAACAACGATGAGAAACCCGGGGCTTCACTTTATATTTCATATACACTACGGTTATATGTCATAAATTATCAGGAAAAAAAAAAGAAAAAAAATTTGTGTGATATTAACTCTTGATAAAAGTACGATAATCTTCTCAATTTTTGTATCATTTCTTTAAAACTGAACAAACAAAATATGTAGGCCTATATATTTATATACATTAAACAAAGATCCCTCTCATATACCTGACAGGCTAGTTTGACCCATACATTTCACATTGGCCAATGTATAGTTCACAATACTTTATAGCTTGTACTTTTCTTTTCTCAATTTCCTATGGAAAAGAGAAATCTTAATAACATATTAATTGGTGTAACATTCTTGATTACATAACTCATCAGCTATTACCACACTCTTTTTTTTGTTTACGAGAATGATATGAAAGGCATAAAGTAAATCTTGGAATATTATTCATCTTTGTCATAGGAACCTATTTTACAGTAACAAAATGGTCTTTGACCTATTAAATGGCTGCACATTATGTTATTCTGTGTCCATGCCTGACAATCACTTTGAAGTTTATAAGTCAATCCTGGTTGCAGTTACTGTCTGAGTTAGGGTGAATCTCGCTGCTCATTCGTACAATTCTACACCATCATAATATGCTCTTGTAGGTAGCGCTTGCCTTTAGTATCTTATTAAACTCTTCTTTTGGCTGAAAAAAGTATTCACATTAACTTGCACATAATTTAATCTACAACTGATTTCCAGTGAAAACAATACATGTAGCTCGCTTTTTGCTTCTCACACTGTAAAAAATACTTATCTGAAAACAGATCGTGGTAGGTCTCCTTGTAATCACAAACAAAATCATGAATTAGGGGTAGCTGGAAGTTCAGGTTCTCCATAAGTCGTATGACATCTTGACTTGAGGCATGTCGTAGTAGAAACGAGAGCTTTACACTTGTTACATAAAACTTTTTCCTTCCTGGCGTAATGAAGTGCTCGATTTAGAGCTGTAGGATTCAAACGAAGATTGTCGAAACGTGATTGCCATTGAAAACAATACATGTAGCTCGCTTTTTGCTTCACACACTGTAGCACATCTATGAAGTAAAGGATACTTATCTGAAAACAGATCGTGGTAGGTCTCCTTGTAATCAAAAACAAAATCATGAATTAGGGGTAGCTGGAAATTCAGGTTCTCCATAAGTCGTATGACATCTTGACTTGAGGCATGTCGTAGTAGAAACGAGAGCGTTACACTTGTTACATAAAACTTTTTCCTTCCTGGCGTAATGAAGTGCTCGATTAGAGCTGTAGAGTTCAAACGAAGATTGTCGAAACGTGATTTCCATTGAAAACAATACATGTAGCTCGCTTTTTGCTTCACACACTGTAGCACATCTATGAAGTAAAGGATACTTATCTGAAAACAGATCGTGGTAGGTCTCCTTGTAATCACAAACAAAATCATGAATTAGGGGTAGCTGGAAATTCAGGTTCTCCATAAGTCGTATGACATCTTGACTTGAGGCATGTCTTAGTAGAAACGAGAGCTTTACACTTGTTACATAAAACTTTTTCCTTCCTGGCGTAATGAAGTGCTCGATTAGAGCTGTAGAGTTCAAACGAAGATTGTCGAAACGTGATTTCCATTGAAAACAATACAAGTTGTAGCTCTCTTTTTGCTTCACACACTGTAGCACATACTTGTTACATAAAACTTTTTCCTTCCTGGCGTAATGAAGTGCTCGATTTAGAGCTGTAGGATTCAAATGAAGATTGTCGAAACGTGACTCAATATCCCTTCTCCTCCGCTTCCATTCGGGAGCACTTGCCTCTCCATAGGCCGTATGACATCTTGACTAGAGGCATGTCGTAGCCAAATCGAGAGCATTGTCAGATGACACTTGTTGCATACAACTTTTTCCTTCCTGACATATTGATATGCTCCTATTTTGTAATGATTTAGAACTGTAGAACTCATACGAAGATTGTCGAAACTTGACTCAATATCCCCTCTCCTCAGCTTCCATTCGGGAGCACTTGCCTCTAATTTCTTATTAATCTCTTCTTTTGGCTGAACAGAGAATATTCCCTTTAGTCCCTGCTTTAACTTTGCACTGTATCTTCCCATGTGTAAAGAGTAACTCGACGAACGAAACCGACTCGATCTGCAGATTTCCCGCATGAACTAAACTTTAGGTGACGCACAACTCAACAACAGTAGTCCGAAAACTTGCATTTAATTAATCTTCAGCTGATTTCCATTAAAGACGGTGCTCGACTATCCGAAATCAAATCGTGGTAGGTCTTCTACTTGTTATCACAAACAAAATCATGGCTTTGGGGTAGCTGTAAATTCAGTTCTCCATAGGCCGTATGACATCTTGACCCTCCTCTCGCAAACCTTGGATGAATCTTTGGTGGGCTGCCACTGGCAGCCACACCTTGTTTATGAATAGTTTGCTTGGTTCAGACTTTGAGAAGTACGCAAGTTTGCCTGCTTTTCTTGCCGCAAAAAGAGCTGGCATCTGCTTTTGCCTCAAATTCCTCATTCTCAATGGGATATCTTCCCGTATCGAAAGCCTTGTCCCTTTCAGGTTTCTCGCATTCTTCATAATGGTGTCCCTGTCCCTCTATCGAAAGAAGCGCGCCTTAATGGGGCGTGGCATGGTTTTCGTCATGATCCTATGCACCCTCTGATATTCTACGGCATCGGCCTCTTCTTCTGACATCTTCAAATTATTAATGTAGAAATCCTTCATAACTTGTTTGATGTCTTCTCCTTCCTTCTCTGGTAGTCCCATGAAAATAAGGTTCTCTCTTGCCACGTACACGGCAAGTTTGTCAATTTCCATTTGAAGAGCCGCTTCATTTTCCATTGCTTTCGCTTCCATCATCCTCATTTTCTTCTTAATCTCATCCAACTCCTTACTTTGAAAATCAATTGCTTCCTTTAAATCTTTGAATTGAGATTCAATATGCTTCATTTGCTCTTTAATGTTAGCCTCCAGGGAAGAGAATCTTTCTCCTAATCTCTCTGTCTGCTGCTCCAGCAGCCGTCGGAGAGTCGGAAGCAGGTTTGTATCAGGGCTTGGGGGGCTCGAACCGGCATCAGCTCTCGGTCTCTTCGTAGATCCTTTTCCTGTATTACGTAAGTTGCTGGCCATATTTTCTATCACGCGTTCCAATGGGATTCGGGAGAGGCTCGAAAAACTCGAAAAACTCGTGTCTACTCTACGAACATCACAAACACGCAAGCACAAACACGCTTTCCCACACCCTCTCTCTTACACAATCTCTCTCTTTCTTCTCTCTTTAACACAGTGTATCATTTTCATCATTTTCTCCATTGAATTTATATTTATATATGTCCAGGTTCCTAGGCTAGGTAAGGGAGACCGTGTGCAGATCAATAAAGACTTGACGTTTGTGAGGAATCTTCACGAAAACAGTCTAAATGAATGGATCGATGGCATGGAAAAGGTCAGTCAAACAAAACTTATATACAATATGAAGTTCTGTATGACTTGTTAACACTTTATGTTCCCATAAAGTACCATGTCTGATACCAGCAATTGAGCCCCAGTGTGCTTGGGTTTGGCATGAACCAGAGAAGAAAACTAAATGTAAAACCTCCCCCACTTCGAAAATGTTACTTATGAAAGGAATTGCAAAAAGCAAAATAAACTCGAAGGAATGGACTGATTCTATTGCTACAAATTACTTCACAAATGTTTAATACATTGTACCAAGTTTATCATACTTGCACATGCATGTCCTGGAAACAAAATATTGAAATATGATTGGCTTGGCGATAATTAAGAATTCAAATCTCTCATAAAGATAAATCAGTATGTCGCAAGACATCTAAACCCTGTATAGATCAAAATTGTAATCAATCAAAGCTGACCATTCATTTTAGGCAAAAATAAAAATAATTGTTTCACACTTTTTTCAACTTGTGTTATTTTGGGAGACATGACGTCTAGTGGCCTTTCATGAGAAAAGTACGGTTACTACTCAGGGAACCACTGGTGATTATGACATAGGAAGGTCTTACCATATTTTTGAATGTCGATTTGTGGTCTTTTTAGGAAGCTCTTTGGGACCCAATATTAATTTTTTAATATGAAATCCCATTTCACTACGGATCAAATACAATATACTATTTAATACAAAGAGTTGGACCAGTATAATACCTTCTTTTAATGAGAGTATGTTTGTATTAAAGTGTTCTTTAAGGTTTCAATACTTGCATTATATATGATTACTATGTTCAACTTTGCTTTTCTTGGAAGACTGGTAGCAAAAGCTTGTATTTAATAATTCTGTAGCCTTTCTCCAAAAACAAAAGATATATTGCACCCTTGTGATTATGAGTGTCACGTGAGAGTTACTCATCAAAATGAATACTCTCTAACATTATCTGTTTATACAGTCAAACCTGCTTTAGTGACCACCTGTCTACAACAAGCATATTTTTTGTTTCCCTTGAAAATGGTTTATAATTGAAACATGTACTGAAGAAACCTGTCTACAAAGACAATCTATTTTTAGCAGAACACATCATTTGTGTTGCAGAGGAGCTGTGAACAACATTAGTAAAGTTAGCTACACAGCCTGTATGTAAAAACAAACACCTGTAGTTTTATGAAGTATATTTAAAGTACCCCCCCCCCCCAATATCTAAATACATAAATAGATGTATATGTTTGATAAGTGTATATACTGTAACATACAGAGTATAATAGGGTTGTTTTGATATAAAATGAAATATTTAATTAACATTGTCACGTGGAATACCGTCTAATTCCATTGATCATATTTTCGCACTCTTTACCCTTCTAGCTGTATGGGAAGGTTGCCAAGGTTACTGGTATCAACTCAAGCGGGAATGCAGAGGTCACTTACCCTGAGAGAAAAGAACAACCTTTCATCTTCAATCCAGATGTACTGAACAAGGTATGGTCTTAAGCTGTACGTCACTTGCTCTTGCGACAAGTGCTCAGCAGTAATTTCTAAATTTAACCTTGGACCCAACACTATTGCTAACCCTAGCCCTAAAACTAACTCTATACATGTACTTTTCAAGAAATAAAGCGCCACGCAATAGTTGCCAGAGAAATTTTCTGAGTATCATCGTCTAAAATGTACATAAATGAGTGAAATATCATTGATGATGACTATTTATATGTTTCTTTATTGAGGGATGTACATGGTCTATAGTCTATACAAATTATTGTATGTATTTACGTTTGCTCAAATTAGACTTCACTTTATTTTCCTTCCTATCTCTCTGTCTACCGTTTGCCCCTCCCTCTGCCTCTATTACCCTCTCTTGCTTACCCCCCTTCTCTTTATCTCTCTGTTATGCATACACACACACACGAACACGCACACACACGCACGCACTTTTGTTTTGTTTTCATATTTACTCACTGTAACTCCCCATCTCTGTCTCTTTCTTTCTGTCTGTTTGTACATGGTTTGTCCCTCCCTCTGCCTCTATTACCCTCTCTTGCTTACCCCTTCTTTATATCTCTGTTATGCATACACACACACACACACACACACACTTTTTTTTTTTAAACAATTTTGTTTTATTTCTCCAGATGTGTAATACAAACCATGACATACAATTGAATAAAATAAATGTGTTCAATATTGATGCTTTTACATAAACATAATTGAACAAAAACTTATTTGCAGTATAATATAACTTAGCAACAAAGTAAACGTATAAGTACCTAAACATAATATGTCAATTGTAAATGTTATTCACTTATATATTACAAAAAAAAAACTTAAACAAATCTGGAGGTAATTTTACTGAAACAATCCTGCCCCCTCCCTGCCCCCTCCCTGCCCCCTACATCACACAAACATACTCACCCTCTATCACACAAACATACTCACCCCCACCCACCCCCCCCCCCCCCACACACACACACTACTCACTCAGTGGATGTCTGCCAACATTCTCAACTCAAGAAAAATATACTAAATAAGTTATCCAGGCCGCAAAATAGAGTTACGCTTTTAACAGGCTCACGGTGGAGAAGAAAACAAATCTTAATTAATCTTAAGCTACTCCCACTTTAAGAAATGTGATCCCAGCTTTCCCATTTCAATTGCTATTTTCTTTTCCTCATCCCTATACTTAAAAATGCTTTTTTTTCATCTTTTCTAAAGTTAGTACTCGCCCCCCCCCCCCCCGATCTTGACATAAATGTAACATACTTCACCATGAAAATGATAGTATTACACATTTTTATTCTATATGAACTACCTACCAACCCAACAAATATATCTCGCCATTCTAAATCTTTAATTTCATCTAACTCAAAAAGTTCAATTAAAGCCTGCCATATCCTTTGAACGCTCCCACAAGATAAAAATAAATGTTTGTATGTTTCTATTTCCTGCTTACAAAACGAACATAAATTATCACCAACAAAACCAAATCTATGAAGATGCTCATTAGTGTATATGGCTCCATGCAATAATTTAAATTGAAATTCACGTTGTTTTCTAATGAGTATTGTAATTCTTGGTCTAACAAATATTTCTTTTAATTCTTTATCTATAAAATCATAATCATTTTGCCCATCCCTTACCTGCAAATCATACGTTTGTTGCAGTGCTTTGATAAAATAATCATAGATTGTTCTTGAACCCACATCCACAAACTGTATTTTTTTTACTAGAAATATGGAAATAAGTATTAAAGCTTATCAAATCAACCTCGAGGAATTCTATTAACCCTGAATCATCCTTCCATAACCTGGGTATCGCATCATAAATATCAATAATCATAAGCAAATTATTACCTTTCATACCGAGGTTCATAAAATATTAAACAGACTTAACATGACCTTTCTCAACCAAATGATTCAGTTGAACAATCCCTCTTTCAAACAAGTATCTATCAAATATACTTTTTCCATTAATACATATATTCTGATTATTAAAAATAATTGGATTAATATAACCCTCCAAATATCTTAAATTACTTGTCTCTTGCCATGCTTGCAACATTTCCATATAGTATGGTGGAATATCTAAAACGAGTTTAATCTTTTTTAAATCATAATCACATAAAAAAATAAATCTACCACCCACAAACTGTAAGCAATGATCAAAAAACAATTTCCATCCCAAACTTTTCTCTCCATATAAAAGACGTTTTATCCACATTATGCGCTGTATTTTAACGGACATTTCAAAATTAATCATTCTTAATCCTCCAAAGTCATAATCCTGATACATTATTGCCCGTTTAATTCTATCTTTCCCCCTCCATATGAATTAAAATGAAATTTTTGCAACTTCTTTGTATACCCAATGAGGGACAATAACGAGAGATGAAATATAATTTAATTTTGAAAGCGCATAAGTTTTTAGCAAATGTATTTTACCTATAATAGTTAAATCTCTTTGTTTCCACCATACAAGCAATTTTTTATTTTACTTAGAATTTCTTTATAATTCAAATCATCTTTTAATCTTCGATCTAATGAATAACTAACCCCTAAAATATGTATTTCCTTAACCAAATTTCCAAATAAAGGCCCATCAGGTTTGTTCTCATCCTCACCCATCCACATAAAATGTGTCTTTGTTTTATTCACTTTAAGACCACTAATTTGTTCAAATGATTCAAAAATATATTGCAACCTTCTAACCGAATCAATATCCTTCAAAAATATTGTCATATCGTCTGCATATAACACTTGCCTAATTTCAGATTTTCCAAATGTAATCCCTTTAATACCGTTGTCCCTCCTTACTGCATGCGCCAAACCGTACTTTTCTAACACCCAAGCACATTTTCCCACACCCTCTATATTACACAATCTCTCTCTCTCTCTCTCTTTCTTCTCTCTTTAACAAAGTGTATCATTTTCATCATTTTCTCCATTGTATTTATATTTATATATGTCCAGGTTCCTAGGCTAGGTAAGGGAGACCGTGTGCAGATCAGTAAAGACTTGACGTTTGTGAGGAATGTTCAAGAAAGCAGTCGAAATGGATGGTCGGATGGCATGGAAAAGGTCAGTAAAACAAAACTTCTATACAATATGAAGTTTTGTATGACTTGTTAACACTTTATGTGCTCAAAAAGTACCAAGTCTGATACCAGCAATTGAGCCCCACTGTGCTTGGGTTTGGCATGAACCAGAGAAGAAAACTAAATGTAAAACCTCCCCCCACTTCGAAAATGTTACTTATGAAAGGAATTGCCAAAAGCAAAATAAACTAAGGAATGGACTGATTATATTGTTACAAATTACTTCACAAATGTTTAATGCATTGTACCAAGTTTATCATACTTGCACATGCATTTGCTGGAAACAAAATATTGAAATATGATTGGCTTGGCGATAATTAAGAATTCAAATCTCTCATAAAGATAAATCAGTATGTCGCAAGACATCTAAACCCTGTATAGATCAAAATTGTAATCAATCAAAGCTGACCATTCATTTTAGGCAAAAATAAAAATAATTGTTTCACACTTTTTTCAACTTGTGTTATTTTGGGAGACATGACGTCTAGTGGCCTTTCATTGGAAAAGTACGGTTACTACTCAGGGAACCACTGGTGATTATGGCATAGGAAGGTCTTACCATATTTTTGAATGTCGATTTGTGGTCTTTTTAGGAAGCTCTTTGGGACCCAGGATTAAATTTTTAATATGAAATCCCATTTCACTACGGATCAAATACAATATACTATTTAATACAAAGAGTTGGACCAGTATAATACCTTCTTTTAATGAGAGTATGCTTATATTAAAGTGTTCTTTAAGGTTTCGATACTTGATTTATATATGATTACTATGTTCAACTTTGCTTTTCTTGGAAGACTGGTAGCAAAAGCTTGTATTTAATAATTCTGTAGCCTTTCTCCAAAAACAAAAGATATATTGCACCCTTGTGATTATGAGTGTCACGTGAGAGTTACTCATCAAAATGAATACTCTCTAACGTTATCTGTTTATACAGTCAACCTGCTTTAGTGACCAGCCTGTCTACGACAAGCATATTTTTTGTTTCCCTTGAAAATGGTTTATAATTGAAACATGTACTGAAGAAACCTGTCTACAAAGACCACCTGTCTACAACAAACACATTTTTTGTTTCCCTTGGGCGGTCGCTGTAGACAGATTTGACAGTATATTAAACGTTACATCACCTCTGTTTCAATCTCGATACTCTATTTTAGTATCGAGGACTGAACGTTACAACAGCCAGGTGCGATTGATTGGTTTGGAGAGGATAAAGCCTTGGGATTTCGATGTGAGACGTTCGATGTTCGTTTTAAAGATGTTTCACTACGTGCAAAATGGATTATTAAACATTACTTCATGTCTGTTTTCAGTGTCTAGGTATGGAAGGGACAGTGATAAACGTTGATTCACAGTACGACAGCCGGGTGCGATTGATTGGTTTGGAGAAAATGTGGTCATGGCATCCCTGCTCTTTGATCCTCGTCAAGAAGAACTCATCAGATGATGACGAGCAGAGTGCTGAATCTACAGACCTCAAGCTAGGTTGGTTGGGATATTTAATAACCTTGCTGCTAACCTTGTCAGAGACAATTTTCCCTAGGCAACTTTCGCTGTAGTCCTCCCATATTTGATATTAGCACCAAGGCGAGAACATCGGACCCTGCTTCATAAAACATGTTATCAATGATGGCAAGATATTAATCTACGTTTGCCGCTCTCCATCCTGGTGTTAAATGGTTACCCGGAAGGAAGTGAATTTCAATGTGTTTGGATTGGCATATGAACTTGCAAAATGGTGCCTGGCCGAAATACTCCCCAGGGAGCAGAGAGTTATCTCACTGTAATGTGGGGATTAGCAACCGAATCTAATGACTCTGGTAAATAATAATAATTAAAATGTAAAGTGCTTAGAAACGTAGTAAATAAGTACCATACAAATGTTATCATTGTTATTATTGTTATCTTCTATTACTAATCCAGATGGAAGTGGACAAACTGAAATGCTCGAGGCCTTGCTATCACTACTCGGGACAGATTCAGGCAAAGGAGGTAATGTAATAAAACCAGGTTATTGTAAGCAGTGATTGTAAGTTCCATTTCCACATTTCACTTTGTATATTATAACTCTGAGTCCATATCTGGTTTATCTATAATTTTAATTAATACCGATGTATTCATTTTTTTGTGTAATGTTATATTCTTCTTTGCCATTTACTTCAATACTTTTCCTTCCTTTTCCTTTCATCTTTTTCTTGAGCTTAGAAACATTAATATAGGTTTTCCCGGCCAATTTTGTAAAAGCAGCAATCAATTTCATTAACGCGCATTCATGGTCGAGCAAATTTTCTCCACTCGTTGCTCCCCTGTTTCATTTTTAAACTTGTCGATTCAATTTCGTTTCGAGTCACCGAATTTTCGACACATGCACATTCAAAAGAAAGCTCGGTTCAGTCAATTTGAAAATGCGTAAGGGTCATTCAATTTCGCCAATTTTGGGTGGGAGGTGAATTCTTTGGCGTATTGCGGTTTCATTTTCGTCTATGGGCAACCTCTTTTGCAATCAGGTCATTCAAATTAACATTAGACCTCATAATCATAGTATGCGACTCGATGTTCTTTCGGATATTCAGTGTTTCATGTTCATTCATTTATTCTCTTTCTCTATAATCCTTTCTGACATGATTTCACATTCTACAATCTTCTTATTTGTCCGATATATTTATATTGCATTTTATGTTTTCTCTTTCTTTCGACCTTTTTTTATTTTTGTTGAAACATCTCTTTATTCATATCTTCATATTTGTTATAGGATTTCCCGGCCAAATTCGCGTGTTTGTCATTTGAATTCATTTACTTTGCATTTAAGTTAGCGCAGATCGGCTCTGCCATGCCAATTATCATTCAATTTTCCAGTTTTTGTATTTAATTTAGGATTTTGGTCGAAGGGTTTCATAGATCTGTCATTCAATTTAGAAACTGCTCAACTAGCATTCAAATTAACATTTACTTGTCGAAGCGTAATTTTTATCATTCAAATTAACACCTGTCATTCGTATTCGTAATATTTTTATTCAAGTTGAATGTTAGGGGGAAGAATTGCAACAAACGTTTACAGTTTTTAAATAATGCAGTTAAAATGCATGATTTGCCATTGGGGTCTAAGATGTTATTCCATTTAGTTATTTTCAGGATAATGCAGATGGGTGTAGTCAGAAATAAAGTAAAGAAGGGGCGAAATCAAGGGATATGGCATTTCTGCACGGACATGTTCATATATCCGGGAAAGGTGGGGCTACCCTCAATCGCCCCTTTTTACTACAGACTCGGAATTTTACAAAAGTAATTCACATCGTCTCTTTTACCCAGTACACTCCTCTGTTTTTCTTAAAGAGTTTCATAGTTTACTTGCCCGCTAGCAGATCGATAGCTAAAGACATGGCTAAATAATTAATCATGTTCAAATTGTTGACTCTAGTCCCTACCCCAGTCACAATATTGTACCCTTCTTCCCTAATGAAATTATGATGAAATTATGATAAATTTATGATGAAACATAAGACAAACAACTTCCTTACATGAACATTTACAAATATACTGAGACCTTCAGGTCCGTAGATGCAAGTCGTTTTTTTCTTCTCAACAATCAAACTTAAAGGCTGATGAATATCAGATAAATCTAATAAGTATAAGTGTATAAATGCAAGAAAATGCAATATGATGAAATACACATGAAAAAACAATCTTGAAAGAAAAGAATGAGCTATAAAAAGTGTGTAATAAACGAGAAATGTATATTGACCATAAATTTAAGTGCACAAAGTGCTAATTTGAAAGCTACAAATGAATTAGAATGCTAAAAGTACACCGTCGCGTTGTCAGAAAATCGTGTTGCGCCAAATCGAATGACCAAATAGCGAAAGAAGCACATTGTTCATTAATTTGAATGAAACATACGTAGATTCTAACGAAAATTCCATAGATTTGAAAACTAGAAAAAGGAATATAAACCCGAGATATACCTGACTGCACTAAAACCGTCGAATTTGAACGCAAGACAAATTAATTTGAATTACAAACTCGCAAATTTGGCCGGGAAATCCTATAACAGAAGTATAGTAAGTGACAAATTAACATCAAATGAAAAGCAATGCACAAATGTCACAAATGTGTGCCTAATCACGAAATTGAATGCACGAAGACATACCACCGTCTATCCGGCGCGAATTTGAATGCTCTTTGCCCGCTTTTCTAAATTGAATGCTCGTTGTGCACGTCTCCGTGACAAGAGTATGAAATCGCATGCTACTAAATCAACTTGAATGACGCAATTAGCTTTTTGAATGTTGATCCACATAGTCATTCAATTTCGCACAAACTTGAATGAAATAATGTTAATTCGGATGCTAAGTTTACGAAGTTGGGCGGGAAAACCTATATTAAGCGCTTTATAAATATAATGTATCATCATTAGCATTAATGTGGGGGTTAGCAACCGAATCCAATGACTCTGGTACAATAATAATTACAATGTAAAGTGCTTAGAAACGTAGTATTAAGTACTATACACATGTTACTATTGTTATTATTGGTATCTTCTATCACTGATCCAGATGGAAGTGGACAAACTGAAATGCTCGAGGCCTTGCTATCACTACTCGGGACAGATTCAGGCGAAGGAGGTAATGTAATAAAACCAAGTTATTGTAAGCAGTGATTGTAAGTTCCATTTTCACATTTCACTTTGTATATTTAGACTCTGAGTCCATATCTGGTTTATCTATAATTTTAATTAATACCGATGTATTCATTATTTTGTGTAATGTCATATTCTTCTTTGCCATTTACTTCAATACTTTTCCTTCCTTTTCCTTTCATCTTTTTCTTGCGCTTAGAAACATTTATATTAAGCGCTTTAAAAATAAAATGTATTATCATTATTATTAATGTGGGGGTTAGCAACCGAATCCAATGATTCTGGTATATAATAATAATTACAATGTAAAGTGCTTAGAAGCGTAGTATTTTGTACCATTCACATGTTAATATTGTTATTATTGGTATCTTCTATTACTGATCCAGATGGAAGTGGACCAACTGGACTCGCCAAATCATTGCTATCACTACTCAAGACAGAAGCTGGCAACTCATCCGATAGTGATTCAGGCGAAGGAGGTGAAGAATCGCAACTGATCAAGGCCGCTAAGAGAGGCAATGTTGAACGTGTCGTGGAGATTTTATCAATATCACCAGAAAAGGTTAACCTATTTTAAATAAAAACTGTAAATCCAAATACTTTCAGGGCATTACACTTTTGTGAATCTTGCCCATTGACAAAAAGCATGACAGTTTTATGCACTTGACATTTTCTTGTTTTCCAATATGTCTTTCAATACGGAGTTGAATTTGTTATAATGTACATCGAGTTCCCAGTAGAAGTATTATTATTGCAACTTTAATACATAGTTCTAAGCTGCTTTATTGATATGTAGTTTATCTTTTTACACATCACATCCTTCAAAGGCAAGCATCGTGGTATCACTCATTACTGTCATATATATATCAGAGGTCCCAGTTTGATCCCGGCTCAATGCTTGTATCCTTGCACATGGTTTTCTTCCACATTTGTCGCTCTCAAGTGAATTAAATGGGTAATGCTTGGGTAATGATAATTGCAAGTCCCTCGGGAAGAGCCACATTGATATTAGTGAGGCTACCTTAGGCAAATATCTCTGTACTTTCATGCTTATTATATCACAGGCAAATGCAAAAATTGGAGGGAAGACAGCCCTACACGGAGCAGCTGTCCAGGGTCATCTTGAAGTAGTCCAGGCACTTCTTGAGTCAGGGGCTGAGATAGAAATCACGGATGATGATGGGGACACTCCTCTTCATTACTCTATCGGAGGGTAGGTCATGTGGCAGGCATTTAACTGACATTTGCTCCAGCAACAATCGCTATGGTGACAATCGGTTTGACAATTTCTTGTCGAATGTAAAGGGTTAAGGCTCACCGCAAAGAAAACAAACGCTGATGTTTGTTTGTACATCGATGTATGGAAAATGTGGGCAACTAATGTCCTGTGCATATTCAACGAGCTCTGTGTTTTACATAGAAGTCACAATAATGTGAAATGTATTACACTGTCATATCTGAACGAGACCTTAGGGGTTAGGGTTGTGTTTGGGTTTTAGGTAAGGCTTAGGTTAGGGCTAGGGTTAGGTATAGTGTTTGTTTTAGGGTTGAACTTAGGAATCCGGTTAGTATAGGAAGTTACTGCAGAGAGATTGGAGCATGTGTCTTGCAATTTTGACAGATACATGTCTGATGTGATATACAATGTACAGCCAAAGCCCTGTAGAATTCTCATACTTTAGTGGGTACGTCTAGTGGATCACATGGTTCTAAGTCCTGCCGCAGCCCACTGATGTCCTTTGGCAAAATATTAATCTATGTTTTCTACTCTCCACCCATGTGATGTAAATGGTATCCGGTAATGAATATTTTCCGTGAGTGCATTATCAGGGTAGCTCAGCTATAATGCCAGGGTATAGTACTGTACTAAGAAACATAATATTGAGCGTAATAAAAATGTTGATTTTTTTTCTTTCTTCTTCTTCTCCTTCTTTTTTGTATTACTTTTAGTACAGAACCCTCTCTTTGTAAATGTGTGTTTTATTTTTAAACCATACCACAGTGATGAACCAGCTATCACAAAGTATTTGATTGGTAAAGGAGCAGATATAAACAGAGGTAATGATAAAGGACGGAGAGCGATCCATCAAGCAGCTTACAAAGGGTTTGTTGACTGTGCAAGGGTCTTGATTAATCATGGATGTGACGTTAATGTACAGGTATGTATTTCTATAGATGTGAGAGTGACCTAATAGGGCTGCCCATTTTTTTCCCCGATTTTACCTCTATTTTCCAGATTTTCGCCCTTATTTTCCCTTATCTTCCTGATTTTTCTCTATTTTTAACCCAATTTTCTCACTCAAAAGGGGGGCATTTTCGTAAGATGCCATTTTTTTCTTCCCCAAATCCTTTTTTCTTTTCTTTTTACTCAAGGGGGGCGTGGTTGAAAACCTTTTTTTTTTTTTTTATAGTGCTCACTATCACCCCTGAAAAAGATAAAGATAACAAAAGTTGATGTTCTGAAATTCAAAGAAATTGGTAAATTATAAATTAAGTAGTTGAGGAGAGGAATGAGATAATTGTTTGGGAGTAGTCATCCTGATCATGAAATAAATTGCGGTTAATATCTTTTAAGAATACAACTATTACATCCATGAATTCATTTACCTTGGTGATAGGTAACTGACAGTATTTACTACACATGATATTGCAGTTGATTGGAATACCTATCATACAATTAGGCAATCAATTACGAGCATAGAAGAATTGGGAATATGACATAATTGCTACATAACTTCCATTACTTTGATAAAAGGATACAGAGGGAGATACTCCCCTCCATTATGCTATAACGAAGAGCAAGGTAGATATCGTTGAACTATTGGTAAAAGTTCCAGACCTCGATGTGACTCTGGCTGACAAGAGACAGTATACAGCTCTACAGTATGCAGCTTTAATGGACAAACCAGAATAAGTACTCCCCTGGTCGTATCAATTTATAATGATCTCGAATTTGTACGCATGACCATTAAAAATGTCATGCAAATAAAAGGGGTGATTTTCAGGGGTGTAAGAATGTTGGAAAAAAGAGTATGTTTTTTAAAAGAGCAAGACACTTTATAAAGAGGGGGTCATATCTTCACAGTGATTGCAAGCATATGAATAAATTTGTACCTGTTTTCAGAAAAATAAAGACTTTTTGTGAATTTGTAGTCAATAAGCCCCCAAATAGTGCTATATTTAGAGCCCATTTCTACTTGCCAAATCATGTGTTGTACAATGGGCTATATTCTCTTTCTGAACAATGGCAAATCCATTTGACAAGTTATCTTGATTTAAATGCAGGGGGCCAGGAAAAGGGTGCGGTCACTCTTTTAAATGTTTAGCAAGGATCTTTAGAAAAGAGATTACATCCATCAACTTATGATTATGAAAATTTCCTGTCTGATCTTAGATATTTTCATTTTCTTTCATTATACATTTTAGATCTGCTGAGTTGATTGCACAGAGTTGCCCTCAATCTATTGTTGTTGCATGGGATGACGGCCACACCGTACTGCATATCGGTGCAGTCAAAGGCCATGTAGAAGTCATGAAGGTTGTAATGGCTGTAAAGGTAATTTACTTGGACGCTCATATATCCTAGGCTAGCAAAATGTTAAGGCACATAAAGACCCGTCTGGAATGCAAAAGACACAATTGTTGGTGATAATCTTGAATTTAACACTTCTGTTGCTTTCTTTGTACCCTCTTTGCATTGTCACTACTTTGCCATACATGCAATTTTGCACAAAACAGTAGGCACCAATTGACTGAAGGATTGCTTTGTGCAATGTGTACACAATGGCTCTTAAAAATTACACATTTTCTGGTCTTGATAATTAGCTCAATGAAAACGATCTTAATACCAGTATAGATTGATCTTGCAATGGAAACAGTTATGTAATTTTGAAGCCTTTGCTAAAAATGTATGATTTTCAAATATTATGCGTTTGCATTTCAGTTAGGACTGTATGTACCTCTCCCGTATAGTAAGCTACAAGACAAGTATGAAACATAAAAGCAAATGTTAATGTTTTAGAAAAAACATTTCCCCGTCTGCATGTAACTCGTTTTGATTTTCCATGTTTGTGCACTTCTGATTTTACAAATGTATTGGATTGGAATAGATATATGACAGTTGAATATCTGTAGTTGTTATGATATGGTCTATGTGTAAAGATACATGTACCTGAAAGTCAACTGTATTTGTTTAGTAGAAGCTTGTACATGTACATTTAGGCTTTCAATACAAGAGACACATGCAATGTTAATCTCTTGTTTTAACATAAAGACTATCTCCCATTTCTCATTTAACTCAGATATTACATGAAATCCAATTAAGGTAAATCAATTTCTTATTTAGATAAGGAGGAAACTGATTTATCTATTAAAATGACCAAATAATGAAAGTTGTATATTTATGCTGATGGAAGGATCATGGGTTGGATGTGAACGCTAGGAACGTGCAAGGAGATACAGCACTACACCTGGCCGCACATAAAGGACAATCCCACAGCATAGAGTTTCTGGTGTCACAGGGTGCTGATATCAATCTTCGAGGTAATGATGGTTACACTGCCCTGTTCCTCCTTGTCGGCACTGCTGAGCTTCGTCCAAGTTCTATCAAAGACACCCCTACACTGAGGAAGGTTTGTCTACGTGTGTGTGTGCCAATAGATAAGAGTAGGAGTGTTTCATAGTAGAAGCCCGGTGTGCAGTAATAGAAAATAAATTTGATACAGAAATTATATTCCCCAAAACTAAAATTACTGAGTCATTTGAAATAAACCACAATTCGTGGGTGCATTTTTTTAAAATCCAAAACATAAATAATAATAATAATAATATAAACAGTGCTTATAAAGCGCTTACCACCGACGTCTCTGAGCGCTATAACAAACAAAATACAATGATAAACAATTACATATTAAACAAAACAAATAAGTGCAAATAAACCTACGAATAACAATACATATGAAATATACAGAGTAAGTTAATCATCAAAAGTAGTTTTTGAATAAATGCGTCTTAAGACGAGTTTTGAATTAGTTAGCAGTTTGACACTTTTTGGCATTTGAAGGTAATTTGATCCAAAGTTCAGCAGAAGCTTTGCAAAAGAGCGATGTCCATAAAGAAAGAGTTGACACCGAAGTAGACACGAGGCTTAATTGTGAAGATGATCGTAGATTGCGTGAGGGTTTGTATTCTTTGATTAGTTCTTGCAGATAAATTGGTGCCAATTCATGAGACGCATCATTTTAATTGCTAGGGATAATTTCCTACTGCTGCCACCATTAAAATTAAGGAGTTCAAAAGCAACGTTCGGTTCGACTGCTAAGGTTCATATACGATAGCAACTGACTCCATCTAGTCATTAAACAACAAATCTTGTGATTCTAGTTTGAATCCAATATATTAATACTCATTCGGAGGAATCTCCATAAACATCTTTTCTGAAGCAACTTGTACCTTTCCCCAAATAATATCCAGTGGTCCTATATTTTTAAGTATCCTAACTCGGTGTTCCAATTAAAAATACCAAATCACTTTACATTTGTGCAAAGATTGATTGACTTGATGCTCTGTACTTTTTTCCAGATTCGTGAGCGTTTTAGAGATTGTGGAGTGGATAACAATGCTGCCGCTGCACTTTGCTACATGGTTCTTAATGGAGCGTCCATAGACCTAGATAATGTACAATGTCGAACACCGCTGTCTTGCATCAGAGATGCTGAGCTGAAGAAGACTTTGAAGAAGATTGCTCGTGAAAAGATGTAAGTTAATGTCCTTTGGGACCAACTCTGGTTTTCTTCTTTACCTGTCTATAAGGACAATGTGCAACAATTTACTAAATTATTGCTTTGTGCAACACAATAGCATTGCAAAATTACCCACCACTTCTAGTCTTAAATAGCTCCAAAACAGCCCATTTAACACCAGTGAAAATGAATCTTGCACTGGAAACCGTGTTTGATACTGGAATAAATCATTTGTATATTTATCACACAATACATGTGACAGAGGGATTATTGCTTTGGTATATAAAGAATTAAAGAAGATTTTAAAAATCATATCAGATCAAAATAATGTAATTTTTACTGTGCAATCTTTTTTAAATGATAGGCAGAATATTCTGTCTACATAATGCTCTTCATACTCCTCAAACCTGATGTTAATAAATATTTACCATTTTAATGCCCCTAAACTATTTTTAATTCTTTTTTCAAAAATTACATAATTTCTAGTCTCATCATATATTTTCTTTTTGCTATTGCATCTTTGAATCACTAGTTCTGTTTTAATTTTAGTCGATTAATGCCATATTCACATTTGACCCTATACCATTTCTGGGGCCTGAATTGATCTCTTCTGATTTCTACATGATTGGGTTCCTTATTTACCTCTACTCTTCGACTTTTATTTTTGTTGCAAAATCCTGTCTCTATTTCTCATCCAAATGATCTTACATAATAAGAATTAAATTTTCTTCCCTAATCGCAATGGCCCGTATTCTTTATATGTCTTTATATCTAGGATATTATGCATGTTATCAAAATGTTTTCCAGACCTGATGATATGCCATCACAAGAGGACCTCGGGGAAGATGAGGATGTGACGAACGGACGCCTGAGCAGTAATTCAATCAGTGTTGACAATGACGATATTATCGTAAAACAAAACGATGGTCTGAGCGGCACTGATAAAGGCTCTCCAAATCTGATAAGACAGGACTCGGCTGAGAGAGAAACTTGCAAGCCAGAAATTGAAGGTAAATTAACATCTACATATGAAATAAAGAACTTAAGCCTGCTGCACACTTCACCATCTGACTATGACCCGATTCTGGAAGAACTTGTGATAGCATTTTAAATGAACAATTAAATATGTACACTTTCAATGACCAAGGAGCTGACTAGTCATAGGCTATGCTCATGAGCGGCGATTTCTTTTCATGACCGGGGGACGAAATGCGAGGGACGGGGAAGCAGTGGCGTATAATGAGCCCCCCCCCCCCCCTAAAAAAATTGAGGGGGGACGGGTCCCCCGCCCCCCCCCCCCCCCCCCCCCGGGATCGCCGCCCCTGGCTATGCTTAATAAAAATCTAAATTGCAGGGATTTCATGCTCCATCGGAGGGGGGAAAGCTAAATCTGCTCAGAATCGCAGTAACGTCGGACCATTATAGCGACACTGTTTACCGTCTTGTATGTGAATGTATCTTTAAGACTGCTGGTTAAGACTGTTACAGGGGCATCCAAATATATCAAAATTGTAAAGAATCACCATCCACCCATTTTTCAAAATTTCCCAAAACTTTGTAATACCTTTAAGGAGCCCAGTTGGGATACTGAATTCAGACAAGGATTAAGAGTTTGAGTTTGAGTTTGAGTTTGAGTTTATTAACAGCAAAAATAATAACAAGTAAAACGTAATGTATCAAGCATGATTACATAAAATATAACAATATAACACAAGATCGAACATAACACATGAATAATATAAATATTTTTTACAAAGTATGTCGTATACAAATGGAATAAAATATTAGAGTAGAGAACGGTACAACGAATCGTCTTCTTTCTCTAATAATTAAATGAAACAGCAAAGTTTCCGCGCTTCGCGCAGGAGGGGGGCAACTGAATTCAGACTAGGCTTAAGACTCGATCGAGAACGGTACAACGAATCGTCTTCTTTCTCTAATAATATGATAAAACGTGAAAACTTCCGCGCTACGCGCGGGATGGGCGAAAATTATTTCAGACAAGGATTAAAAGTAATTTAAAAGTCAAAGCTTCCGCGCTTCGCGCGCACGGGAGGGGAAGACTGAATTCACACAAGGACATGATACAACGAATCGTATTCTTTCTCTAATAATTTAATAAAACTTGAAACCTTCCGCTTAATGAAGTGTCAAAGCTTCCGCGCTTCGCGCAGGACGGGAAAAACTGAGAAATAAATTAGTTCCTGGCCCCGTATTTATAGGGTTTAATTTGTAGACATTGGCATTAATATATTTGTCGGTAATTGGTGGCTAGTTGTGTCGGTAATCGGTGGTCTCTACACCTTCCCGGCCCCTCAGCCACTGACAAAGGTCTAGCGACGCCCCTGATAACAACACAGTTTATTTATTTTATTTTATTTTATTTTTTTGTTGTTGAATTTTTGAATTCGAATTTATTTATTAACAACAACATATTAACACAATGTTACAAAATGTATTCAAGTGGGTAACAAAAATAACATGTTGTATACATATACATGGGTTACAAAGAAAAAGAAAATATCCATAGTTGAACCATACAAATTAAGTTAATCATATATCATGTCATATCAAACCTGTGAATTAGCTATAACTTAATAATAAGTAGAGATTTGTGGCTGGAATTGAAATTCACAGAGTTCCAATAACGTATAAGTGATTCAAATAAAGGATATTTTTAGACTTAAAAACTTAAAAATGTTGTTAAAGGGAGAACCAAAAGTTAGCACGAGTGCTAGTCGGGATTGGTTCTCCGAGTTTCTAAAACTGTATGCAAAGTCTTATTAACATTTATTTTGTCTTAATATCATTATTATTTGATCCTTACGATTCATCTCTGCTAAGGAGTTTAATTCTGAGATTTTGACGAAATGATGATCTTGTTTTTTCTTCTCTTATATTTATGGGCAAATTATTCCACAGCTTTGCTCCAATGAAGGAAATTGAAAAAGTCCCACGTGTCTTACTACATTTAGGTAATCGTAGCATTAAATGTTCTCTCCCTCTTGTTCTATACATGTGATCCATTAACGAATGTGGTAGATGTCCTTTCTGCAGATCATATACAAATGTCGATACTGAATGCTCGAACAGATTATGCACATCTAATACCTGTAGACGTACGAACAGTGCCTTCGAACTCGTTCTAAATGGGGAAAATGTTATCACACGCATGGCCATTTTCTGTGCCAATAGTATGCAATTTAAATGACTTTTATAGCAACTTCCCCAAACTTCAATACCATAAAGTATGTGCGGCTGGATAAAGGATTTATACAAGAGCATGAGAATGTGCTTAGGTACATAGTGCCTCAACTTACACAGCAGTCCAATCTTCCTCCGTATACACTTATTAACGTTCTGAATTTGCTCCTTCCACATCAAGGTTTCATCAATTTGAATTCCTACGAAAGATGCTACACTGACTCTATCTATCACTGTATCACTGAGTTTTAAAATACCCCTAATTTCACATGATTGCCTTTGTCCCTTAATGAGCATATAATTTGTTTTCTTTAAGTTTATTGTTAACTTGTTAACAAAACACAATTTTTGTACTTCCAAAAATTTTGATATTTACTTCATTCATATCTATTTCTTTCTGTCTTTTATCAAAAGTATGAAATTCAAGTTCAAGTTCAAGTTCAAATAAGGTTTTATTCATTACTTGTCAACAAGTCCGAAGACTAAAAATGCAAGTTTACATCAATATAAAAAACATTCAAAAACATAAAGATAACATAGTAAATGAGGACAAATATATAACAATGAATACATTTTTAAGTTAAAAACATTAAAGTAGTAACAAAAAAACAAAACAACAAAAAAAGATTTTTAAAAAAAATACAAGATATGAAATATTGCTAGCAAAAATGAATAAATGTTGACATATAAACAAATAAAATGTATACAGATACTTGAATTTAATTAACTGTAACATTGGAAAAATTGTAATTAAGTATTGAGTATTGAGTATTGAGTATTGAGTATTAAAAAGTATTAAAAAGTATTAAATAGTATTACAATCGGAGTCTTGGCAGTGTGCTAATCACAAGCGTGATATGAGTACAGTATAATGTATAAACATATTGCACATGAGAACAATGGAATTCCTTAGGTATTATTGGTTACAGTAAGAATAGCAGATAATTAAAGAATGTTGTACTGTAAAACATCATCAGAAGAGAATGAGGTGGAGAAGAGGAGAGAGAGACAGAAAGTGAGAGAGAGAAACAGAGAGGAGGAAGAAGAGATGAAGGGAGTAAGAGGAAGAGGCAGAGAGAGAGAGAGAGAGACAGACATAGAGCTGAGAGAGAGGGAATGGGAGTGAAATAAAGAATAAAGAGGAAAGACCAGAACTGAAGAAGAGAAAAGGAAATTTGAAAAGAAGCAAGTTCGAATAGAAAAAAGGAATGAGGGAGTGAGAGGAAGATAAAAATACATGCAATATCAAAATACGAATGAATGGAAGAACCCGCTATGCCAATCATCATGGCAGTTAATATTGCACATAATTATATTGCTGAAATACATGACATATAACATACTGATAATTACCTAAGCCTCAATTTATCATTATTTTCAAAAAAATGGAATTCCTTAGGTGTTATTGGTCACAGTAAAAATAACATATAATTATAGAAATATAATTATAGAATGTTGTACTGTAAAACATCATAAGAGAAAAGAGGTGGAGAGGAGGAGGGAGGGACAGAAAGTGGGAGAGAGAAACAGAGGGGAGGAAGGAGAGACAAAGGGATAAGGAGGAAGAGGCAGAGAGAGCAAAGAGAGAGAGAGAGAGAGAGAGACAGAGGGACAGAGCTGAGAGAGAGGGGGTGGGAGTGAAATAGAAATAGAGAGGAAAGATCAGAACTGAAGAAGAAAAGGAAATTTGAAAAGTGGCAAGTTCAGATAGAGAAAAGGGATGAGAGAGTGAGAGGAAGGATAAAAGTACATGCAACATCAAAATATGAATGAATGGAAGAACCTGCTGTGCCAATCATCATGACAATTAATATTGCACATAATTATATTATTGCTGAAATACATGACATACAACATACTGATAATTACCTAAGCCTCTACTTATTATTATTCAAAGATCGAGTGAAAGATGGGATGGGGGAAGTTCGGTACCTCGTAGTTCTCATCTTAGGCAAGGACAAATCAAGTGCATTTCGCAGAATGCGGCTACAGTCATTAACTCTGCTCTCAGGCAGGAGATGTCGATGAACCTTAGATTGGAGAAGTGATTCTGCAAATCTTAGAGAAAGGGATGTGCGTCTCTCTTTAAGAGAGGAGACACCAAGATGAGATTGCAGTTCATCATAAGTTCTAGAGTCAGGGTAGGTAATAATCCTAAGAGCTCTCCTCTGAACTCGCTCGATGCTTACAGAGTGGTTGTTTGTGATCCCTGATGTCCAAACAGGTGCTGCAAATTCTAGCACTGGCATGATGTACAACATGTAGATAGTAGCAAGATCCTTGGTGGTAACACCATTCCTCCGAAGCTTAGTCAAGAGATAAAGTCTTCTGGAAGCGTTGGAGATCAAACGACTGACCTGCCCATCCCATTTGAGATCATCCTGAAGGAAGACCCCTAGGAGCTTAAGGGATGAGACAGCTTCCAGTGTGGTAGAGTTGATGTCAAGAACGATGGGTGGCGGGGGCTGGCGAAGAAATGAAATCTGCATAGCTTTACACTTAGCAGCATTCGGGACAACGTCGTTGTCTTTGCACCATTGGATCAACGAGTCTAGATGCGACTGCAATGCAGATGGATGCGTTTTCTTCAAGACCTCCACGATTGTCAAGTCATCCACATATTTCCATCGGTTATCACTTTCAAGAGCTGCATCGTTGATAAGGACCAGAAACAGGACTGGTCCGAGGCGAGTACCTTGGGGTACCCCACAGGTGATGGCTTGTTGTTGAGAGGATTTCCCATGGTAGCGGACGGTCTGCGCTCTGTTGGAAAGGAAGCTGCAGATAGTAGGGATGATAGAGTGAT